TCTAATTTCCGTGGCTAGTGCCAATTCATTCAATTTGGCACAGCTCGCGTTACAAAACCTTGATTTTGGTCATTTTATACCTCTCGGTGCCTTCCAGAGGCAGCTGCGACCCCGCCGAGTAGACGGGCGCACACACCGCGCCATCGCAGCTGCCTCTGCGCGTCCTGGGGAGGTACAAAATTGTCGCCGCCGGAGACGACTCGACGCCGCTGAGATCAGAGATCAAGCTCTGACAGGTCGCACGTCACTCCTTTGAGACGCCGACGTGACTCACCCGTGCAGATCACAGCTCACAATCAGCACCCTAAACAGTATGAAGGCCGCGGTCTCGACGCGCTCGCTACGACGCCTGCGACCCGTCTCGTCTAGGGTACCATACTTCCGGGCCGGTGTGCGGGGAGCGGACCTTACCGACCGCCCAGAAGCTTTCTGAGCGAACCAATCGGGCCAGGATCATCAGCATATGTCCCCTCCACAACATCGTGGGCGTTTGAGCGGTATTTGAGGAGCACCGCCACTCTGAAGTTCGGCCGGGTGGTCCGCTGCAGACCCCCCCCCCCCCCCGGAGCAGCAGATAGGCTCCGTGGGGTCGCAAAGTCGACGCTGGGAGTCGCACTCGTCAAACCGTCGCAGCACCACGCGGTCCGCACGTACTGTACACATCCCCTCCACCGCTGAGAAGGCGCAGATCGACCGCCGGGCTGCGTAGTCGTCGTTAAGGAGCGGTTTTCGGAGCCGTACGAAGGGGTCCAAAACGGGCGAACATGCGGTTTTTCGACGACCACACGCGATGTGGTATCTTCTTTTTGCTAAAAACGGGCCGTCTAGTGCAGCATCACTAGTACAACACGCAACCACACTGATAGCTCCACACTAGGCGGTATACGGCCACCAACGCGCGCGTCCCGCTCTCTTGCTCGTGGAGCAGGCGCCTGAGAAATCGGCCTCTGCCATATTCAGCCGAGGCATCTCAGAGATGTTGCCAGAGCTGCAAACCAGTCGCTCGATGACTCACCCAGTGGCACGCGTCCAATCGTTTCTGGACTATCTCGGTCCCGTGGTCGAAAAAACTGTCGGCGAGTTGGTGCCAGAGGCGACCGCGCTCGCGCCATCCGTTGAAGCCGAAGCTGTGAGCGTTGCCAGGGGGGCGAGGGGGGCGGCAGAGGGGGTTAAGGCGTTGGACACAGCCCAAGGGCGCCAAGGGCTTGTGGAACTAATGCGCAGCTGGACTGCGAAGCTCACACCTGAACTGCCGGTGGTCGCACCCCATGTCAAGCCCGCGACGGAGTCTCTGGGCAAGATCTCGATGAGAGGGGTCCAATCGGCGTACAGCGCGGTCCAGCACATGCAAAAGAAGGGTGGATATGTCTAGCTCGCACACACCTGCTCCCAATCAAGTCGTGTTCACATGCGTACAACGAAAAAGTCGATTCTGCAAACCTACCACCTAGCCGCGCGCGCGCAGGTCACTGAGAGACTCTCACAGACACAGTCACACACTCTGTCTGTGGTCTGGGCCAGAGTCTGGGCCGCCCGCTTCCGCGCGCGGCCGCCACCGCACACTGCGCGGCTTGCGCAAGAGGCAGCGGCGGCCATGGCCCCCTGCGCACTGTCCCGATATCACCAGACCTCTTGACTCGCTAATGCTGAACACAATCACACAAGAGCGCTGGCCGCACCGTATCGCGTATGATCACTCGTAACACAAAGCCCCCAACACTTGACAGTTCAAACACGCGCCACAAAGTCGAGCTCCGCTGCAAGCGGGAAACCGCTACAGCCAAGACTCCGCAGCGCCGACTCCTCTCCAGAGTGAGGCCGACCTAGGCGGACCCTGCTGCCACCCCATGCGGCCTTTCGAGCCGCCGCACCCGCAGCCCCTCATTCCAGCGACGCTGGGGGCTTTGCCCATATGGCCCACAGGCGCCGCTTCCCCGCGGTCGAGAAGGGCATGCGCGCGTGCGCGAGCCGAAAGTTGTCGACGAGGATGATGTCGCCCTGCCGCCACGGCGCCGTCAGCGTGTGCTTCCACATCAGCCGACGCACGTGCCACACGTGCTCCGCAGCGATTGGCTCGCCGCCGCGGTGCGTCACGTGCTGGCCGAACGCCTCGCCGAATAGGCCTCGGTGGATCAGCGCGTCAAGCGCGTAAAAGAGCCACGAGAGGGCGGCGTAGCGCGCTGAGCGGAGGTGGCGAGCGGCGTGTGCAAACTCGTCGGCCCACGCCGCCGAGTGGAGAACGCCGAGGTGGTTGTGCCACACCTGCAGCGGGGGGGGCATCGGGCTGGAGGCCGCATGTACCGTGCCACGCGGTGCATCCACGCGAGCAACGACGGCGCGTGCGGTGGCTAGAGCGTGAGCGCAATCGCGCCGCCGCGTCTGTACGAGTCTGTGCAGACAGTCGAAGACGTGGTTACGATCTAGCGCCACTAACCTCGTCGCCCGTGCGCGGGTGCGTGCGGAAGGCCGGCGTCTCGTGCGTCAGCTTGAGGATCCCGCGCGGGCCTGTTCACAGGCAGCACGCGTGAAGAGGCAGGGTTTCGCGTCTCGCGAGTCGGCTCGAGGAGGCTGCGCAGTGGTGGTGATGAGGCTGCGCGGAGGCGATGGCGGTGGCGGTGGCGGGGATGGCGGCGGCGGGGATGGCGGCGGCGGCGGCGGGGATGGCGGCGGGGATGGCGGTGGCGGCGAGGGTGGCGGGAGAGATGGCGGCGGCGGGGAGGGCGGCGGTGGAAGCGGCGGTGGCGGAGACGGTGGCGCGGGCGAGGGCGGGAAGGGGGAGGGGGGCGGCGCGCACCCCAGCTGGGTGTGAAGCCCTGTCTGCGGCTCTCGGCCTCGACTGCGGCGGCGTCGGATGCGGCGGAGGGCACGTGTCGGAACATGGCCTCGTAGCTCTTCGTCTTGAACGGGTCGTACTTGTCGAGGGGGTGGCTGGAGCGGGCGGACGGGTACGCACGCACATACCGGATCCCCTTGCGCTCGAACACTGCGCGCGTGGCTTCGCCCATCTCTCTCGCCACGGCGCGCATGTCGACGAGGGGCGTCTCGCCTCCGACCATGTCGGGCGGCATCTCCTTTGCGAAGAAGAAGAGGTGCTCGGGCGGCCGCGGCAAGAAGGACATCTCGCAGTGCATCGGCACGACCTTCCACGACTCAAACTCGGACGCGGTGAAGACAAACTCAGAGTTGGTGACGGGCTCGCGAGGGGACGTGCCGAGGTAGATGTTGTCCAGCCGGTCCGTGTACGCCATCGCGACCCGCTCGAACTGCGCCGCCTCCTCGACGGCGAACCCGCGCAGCAGCACGGCCCCATAGGCGTCGAGCCAGCCCGTCACGATGTCGCGGTTACGCTCGACCCACTCGGACACGCGCTCAATCGAGACGGATGGGTCGACCGGCGTCACCACGAGTGGAAACCGGCGCTCGCTGTCGAGGCAGGTGGCGTTCAGGAAGGACGGCACGTCGGCCGGGAACAAGGGCGGGAGTGGATCCGCCGTGCTCGAGAGGTCGTCGGAAGGCAGGTCCATGTGCGGCAGCCATACCTCCACCGGGAGGAGCGGCAGCGCTGCCACGACCGCGGCGAGCAGCGGCCACAGCAGCCAACGATGCCGGCGCGTCGGTCTGCGAACTGGGTCGTCTGGTGCAGCCGGCGCAGCCGGCAGCGTCTCCCGCAGCGTCTCCCGGGACGGCGGCGGCGAGACGAGCGGGAGCGTGTCCATCGTGGTGGTCGGAGAGACAGTTACTTGCTCGTCCTTTTTGCCGAGCTGCTGCTGGAGGTGGGCATTACTACGTTCCATGGTGGGATTCCTGGGTGTCGGTGAGAGCGCAGGCACAGCAAGCAAGGGATAAGACCAAGGGAGCAGGCCGTCCGCCTGCCGATACGGTCGGAACTGACCGGAACTCGCACCGATGATGCGACGAAATGCGCATTTTTTTTCCGACGTCCCCTTTGACGGTCTCGGAGGCACCGACGGGTGCGATTCGCCAGCGGCAGAGAGCAGCTTGGTCGAGAGGGAGGGCGTGTGTGCGCGGGCACGTGCGAGGGAGGGAGGGGGGCGGAGAGGCGCAGGTATCTTGGACTTTCAGCCACAATATCTTGCAAGTCCAATATCTTGATGGAGTGTGTGTGTGTGATATGATACTTCTTTTCCAGCGAGGTGCAGGGATGAGTCAGCTGGGATGAGTGCAGGATGGAGTTACGTGTGAGCACAGCTCGCGGGCTGCCCACTACACACATATGTGTACGACGAGACAGATGCGCTCTCCGCGCTCGTGAACACGCTGCTTCGGGAGGGTGGCAGCGATCCCGTCGAGTTGGGCGACAACGAAGAAGGCGAAGAAGGCGAAGACGGCGAGGATTCGCCTCTGCTCGACGCCGCTCGCCACGGCCGGTCCGACGAGGTCCGCACGCTGCTGGCGGCGGGAGACGCCATCGACCAGACCACTGCAGACGGCAGCGGATCGACGTCTCTCATCCTCGCGAGTGAGGACGGCCACACAGAGACCGTCTCGGTGCTGTGCTCCGCGGGCGCGGCAGTCAATTTGGCAAACAGCGATGGTGACACAGCGATGCTCCTCGCCAGCGAAGAGGGCCACACTGACGTGGTTTCTGTGCTGTGCGCCGCTGGGGCAGCGGTGGACCAGGCCGATCGCATCGGCCGCTCCCCCCTCTTTCTCGCCATCGACAACGGGCACCTCTCCACAGTCCAGCTCCTCAGCTCGTATGGCGCCTCGCGGACCGCCACGGTGATGGGCGACGAGAGGACGGCTCTGGGGATGGCAACGCGAAGGGGCCACGCCGAGGTGGCCGCCTGGCTGACCACCAGCGAGCAGTGGGCGACGCCGCTCCACCATCTGTCCGTCATCGACGCGGCCCGGGCCCGCGCCGAGCTTCGCGGCGGCGCGAGCCTCGACGCCGCCGTCCTGGGCGGACCGACGCCGCTCTCCCTCGCGCGGGAGATGATGCTGCTCGCGGCCACAGGCTCCGCGGCCGCCGACCTCGTCCTTCAAGCCGCCCGGCCGTGGAGCCCAGACACGCACGCCCTCTTCCCGGCGGCGGCGAGGGCGCTGGCCGCGGCGCTGCTGATCACGGGGCACCTCCTGTCGCGGGGGCAGCTCGTGGCGGAGGGGCCGGGAGGGCCTGGCGCGCTGCTGGACGTGTGGGTCGGGTGGGTGATGCCGCATGCCGTGCGCAGGGACGAGGCGTAGCGCGGTTGCGGCGCACTCTCTTAAGGGGGTCCCGCACTTAGGCTGGCAGCGGAGCTGCAGGCTGCAGCCGTCGCGCTTAGACATCTCGTGGCAGTCCCAGGCCTAGACGGGTAGAGACCCAGGAGCCGTATCTCTGGCGAGGAGCTACACGCCGCGCGCGTGTGGGAGCCAGTGGATAGTGCGCTGGCCACTGGTCACTGCAGACAACCGTGTGCGGCGGAGCCGGGGACAACACTCAGCGAGGGGCGTGCGTACGTATCGAGCCGGGTTTGCGTACTCTGCGGAGAGTGTGACCTGATGTACTGTGTCCAAAAATGAGAGAGAGAGAGAGAGAGAGAGAGAGAGAGAGAGAGAGAGAGAGAGAGAGAGAGAGATGGACTGACTGCACACAGCAGCCAGCAACGCGCTGCACGGTCTCGACGGCGGACAGCACTGGGTCCTAGCTCTAGTGCCCAGTCCAGAGCGTTGCACAGTGCAATTCTGCGATCTGCGTCTCCTCTTGTATAAACAAGTGTATAAACGGACGGCTTTACGTCACTCACTCTGTCTGGCCTCTGGCGCGTCTGGGCGCGGCGCCAGCCGCCACAGGGATCAGGGTGTGTGTCACCTCAGAGAGAGAGATTTTTGAAAACCAACAAAAGAAATATATCTTCCTTCACCTCAGTCCTCACAAAACTAAAACACATCGATCGAACATGACACCTCCCGATCCCCGCCATCACGAGACTGATTCACGCGCGCCGCGATGAGTTCCAATCTCTCACATCCTCCCGCGTCCCGGTCCGCGGTCGTGACTCAGACAGGTCTCAGCGAGAGGTGATTTGTGTCTGTGTTTTCAGTTTTGCTTGCGCACTTCTACTGCAGTGCGGTACACATTTGATCGACGTTGTGGCTGGAGTGCCGAGAGGTCTCTCCTCTACAGTAGGTATGCTCGCATTTTGTAGTCCGGAACCAGAGCTCAACTCAACCGGTCAGAAGTCGTCGCGGATGGTCTCCCTTACTTTGTCGATGAAATCCGCGCGCTGCTCGTCTGAGCAAAAGTCAAGCGAGTAAAGCCCCATCCATAGCACCGTGCAGCTGGGGTCGAAAAGGGCACGGACCCCCGTGCCAATCATGTTGCGCCCGTTGTCGCCGGCGAGCAGCCCCATGTACCTCTCCGAGCCGTATGTCGAGATGCCTGCAACGCGCTTAACGTTTGTGAGGTGGCCCACAAGCCCGCCGCTGCCAATCGATGCCTTGCCCTGGATGTTTGAGTCCGGAAAGGCCCAGGCACCCTGTCCGCTTCCGGGAGTGGCGGGTACCATCACCCGGTCAATATAGCCCTTGAGCATAGCGGGAACGTTGAACCACCTACAGTAAGCCAATGAAGAGGGTTGGGCAGGGTCGGGGGGGGGGGGGGGGAGTAGGGGGCGGGGGGGAAGCACCATGTCGGATAAACAAATACCACCGAGTCTGCCCAACGGAGGTCATCAAGATGCGAGCGGACGTCGCTAGCAAGCCGCTTAGGTACCATGTCAAAGTCGCGCAGGTAGGCGCCGCGCTCGGCGGCTGTCATCACCGGGCTGAATCTCTCTTTGTACAGGTCGCGACGTCGGATGGTGTGACCGCCCTCTTTGGCACCAGCCTCCACCGCATCAGCGAGGGCATGCGAGTATGAGTCGGTGCGTGGATGCGCATGCACAAGCAAGATCTTCCGCTTCTCGACGTCGTCGGGGCTTCGCGGTGGTGGGGGAACCTGCGTCGTCACCCAGTTCAGATTCTTGGCGAGCCAGCGCGTCGCGGGATTCCACAGCATCCAGAGGGGGGGGGGGGGGGGACACGGCGACGTCCAGTTGCGAGTTGGTCGTGTTTATTGGCCCTTTTACGATGACGATGACCATCTCCCATTATCGCGTCGCCGCTGCTGCCGCTGCCGGCATCGCACTGGGTGCCGCGGCAGGCCGGTTGCTCGGCGGGAGCTACGCGCTGCTCCGGTTGCGCCTCTCCTTCGCTCACGCCAGCTCTCGCGTGGTTGCACTCTGCAACGTGAGAGTGCCCTGCGCGTTGCTGCCGGCGTCAGCCAGCTTCGAGGCTGATGAGGAGGGACTGGTCCGCTGCGATGTGGTTTACGGTCGCAGCGGCCGCATCGAAGCAGTCAATATGGCGGGCAGCACCCGCCGAAGCCTCACCACTGGGTGAAGAACGCCGCCCCTTCCCTAGCCGCCCAGACACACGAGGCTCTTCGCACCAGTGCACACGCAGGCACACCACGCTGACCGGCTCGCGTTCTTCGCCCTCGCTAGTTTTGTCGACGGCTACGGGGCGCTGCTGCTTGCGTGCTTCGTCGATGCGCACGTACATTTCGTAAAGACGCACGCGCACCCGCGCACGCGCAACCCGACCGGCTCGCTCTCCGATGCGCTCTCTGTCGAGGTGCTCGATGAGCAGCGCTGGGCTGCCTGCCCGTGCTGCCGCCCGGTCGCCTTTTCCGGCGGGGGCGGGCGCGACGCCGACGATTGCTGCACGCCATGCCCGGCGGCGACCGACGTCCTTCGACGGATGGACTTTGCTTGCGCCTCTGCCTTTCACCACGGGACGAGGGCAATCCGCACGCATTTGGACGGCAGCCTGCTCCCCTGCCTTGCCATGTGAGACCTAGTCGGCAGATCTTACCTCACTGCTATATAGGCACCAACTCGGACGACGCCAAGCTGCGCGCGACCGTGTACGCCGCCTTCGACGCCAGCCGCCGCAAGTGGGGCGCGAGGGGCATGGCGCTGCAAGGCGTGGCCAACCTGTGGCTCCCTCTCTGGAGCGACGAGGTACTCCCGAGCCGACTGGTGAGCCTTCTCAGAGCCTTCAGTCTTCACGGCTTTGCTGCAGGCCCTCGCTTCGCGGCACGTGGACGAAGCGCTGCAGCACGAGGGCGTGCTGCTCGGAGCCTACTGCGGAAACACGTCCTCATCGCCGGAGGGCGAGACTGCGGCCGCCCTCGACGCCCTCTTCAAGCACGCGCGTCGCCACGGGCTGATGGTCGACCTGCACATCGACGAGACTAACGACCCCGCCTGCTGCTGCCTGCTCGCGCTCGTCGGCGCGCTCGGTCGTGCGCGCGCGGAGGGGTACGTGGAGGCCGTCGTCCTTGGCCACTGCACCTCGCTTGCGCTGCAGGGCGAGGGCAACCGCGCGCGAGTGATCGAGGGCTTGGCAAGGCTCGGCCCGGTGACGGTGGTCTGTAATCCAAGCACCAATCTCGGGCTGCAGGACCGGCGCGGCTCGGCAGCCCCGCACTGCATCCCCATCGACGCGGACGCGCCCCGCACGCCACTCTGGCGCGGGCTCACCCTCGTGCAGGAGCTGGCGGCGGCGGGCGTGGCGGTCGGGTCCGCTTCGGACAATGTGCGCGACTGGTGGCACCCGTACGGCGACTACGACGGGCTCCAAAACTACAAGAACGCCGTCACGCTCGGCCACCTCGACACGGCGCCAAACGAGGGCGCGTGGGCGGCGCTGGTGAGCGACGCTGCCGCCGAGGCGATGGGCCTCGGCGGCGGCTCCTCCTTCACCCCCGGCGCCGCCGCCGACCTCATACTCTTCCCCGAAACGCGGCGGGTGAGCGAGCTCTTCGCGCGGCCGCAGTGCGACCGGATCGTCTTGCGGGGTGGGCGCGTGCAGCGGTCGGCCCTGCCGAGCTACCGCGCCCTCGATGACGTGGTAGGCTCCACCCTGTGAGCAGCCCGCGCCCTTGGCCTCGGTCGCGCGGCTTGTGGGGAGCGGTGTTTCCGTTGTGCCGTGTGTGCGTGCTAGTTGGCGCCAGTCCACGCCCTTGTCGTGGACTGGCGGCCAGTGTGCCCCGAGAAAGGAGAGACAAGCCAGGGAAATCACCCATAATTCTTTTGCCGTGCCCTTTTGTAGTGCCAGTCCGAACCGTCTCGGGATCAAATTCTTTTGTGGGCCACTGTGATACAGCGAGCCGTCTTTTTACCAGGTTGCAACCCTAGTTTCGCACTGTGCTGTGAACGCTGCTGGTTGGCGTCGGTTGCGCAGCACCCCGTCCCCATCCAGGTTGTTGGTTGCTGCCCCAGGTCCCGCACCATGTAGGTGCAATGCCCCGTTCTCTGCACTCTGGAACTGGATCATGCTTGTTCGGGTAAGTGGTTCGCCCGTCCCTGTGTCCGTGCACGTCGCCCGTCGGCAAAGCCGACGACCTATGGTGCTTTACACGCCGCTGGTTGTGGGGAGGACGTGCCGCTCGATGCTGCGGGCGGCGTTGACGTTCACAGCCGTTCACGAATTTGGCCCCAGCTCTTCGGCTCGCTCCGCTCGCCCGGTGAGTTGGTTGGTTGCTGGCAGCACCCCAGCACCGGGGGGTCCTGAGAGCTGTTGGTTTCCGCTCGATTCACAGCACAGTGCGAAACTAGGGTTGCAACCTCGAAAAAAAGACGGCTCGGTGTACCTCATGTATCGTAGTTTTTGTTAGTATCGAGGTCTCGTGAGTTTTGGTCCTGATAAATTCGTGGCGCCCGCGGCGAGCCGAGCCAGGCCACGGCGCTCGGCCTGTTGAGAGAAGACCTTCCCGGACGGCAGTGACAATTTACCCGACATCAATCGTCGACGGCAAGCTCGAGAACTGCGCCTCCAAAGTCGCCCAGATTCGCCTCTCGCGGCGCGCTGAGTTAGTATCGCCGGTGCGCCAGCTGGCTCTGCTCCACAGCAGGGCATGCCTGACTGGCTCCTGCTAGCCGTGCGTCCTGGTGGCATCCATTGCCAGCTCAGGTAGCCTCAGGAGGTCGCCTCGCGCACGACTCGGCGCCGCACAGCACCGCTCCGCGTTACTACCGAGTTAGTATCGTCGACCCACAGAGGCTGCTTCTCTGTAGGTGGAGCCGACAAACGCCGGCTGGGTCGGCCCCGCCGCCCTCATCGCCGCCGTCGGGGCGGCGGCGGCCTCGGCGGACCATCCGGCGCGCCGCGCGCCCGACGGGGAGGTGTTCACCACTCCTGGCTCCTCACCCCGCCACGCCTTCGTGCAGACGCCGTGGCACCCACCTCAGGCGCCGCTCGGACTCGGTCGACGGCCACCCAAGTGCTTGGCTCGTGCCCAGCCGACCGGCAGGCGATGCCCACTCACTGCTAGGCTAATCTCGGGCCTTCAAGCGGCGGTGTGGTGCCGTGAAGGGCACCGGGACCAAAACTACGATAGTTAGTATCGTGCGGGGGCAGTGCATTAATTCTGTCAAAAATCCAAATCTGCTCCGTGGAACTTATTGGGCTAGGATCATACGTCCGGGAGGCCCCCCTTGCGTGCCGTAACGATCGACAGTGCTGGTACCACTCTCTTCACGTTCACAGGTCGTATCAGGACCATAACTCCGATACATGAGGTAGTACACGGCTGCCAGCTGCCCACACCCCGCCCCGCGGTACCGGACGTGCTATGCTCTCCCTCCGCCTCCGCCTTCCCAACGGGCCGTCGACGGTGCAGGTTGGCGAGGACGCGACCTTCGCCGCCCTCCGCGCCGCCATCGCCGCCGTCGCCGCCTCGCCCGCGGAGGCGCTGACCCTCTCGAGCGGCTTCCCGCCGGCACCGCTCGTGCTCAACGACAGCGACCCGATCCGCGGCACGCTCCGCAACATGGACACGGTGGTGGTCGCGGTGGGCGCCTCGTCCGGGCAGGCAGTTGCGCCCGCCGGCAAGGCCAAGCCGAAGCCCAAGAGCGCCAAGAAGGCCGCCGCCGCCTCCTCCGGCGCCGCCGCCGTGCGCACCCTCTCCGACATCGACTCACCAGCGCCGCCCTCGGCCGGCAAGCGGCGCGCGCCTCCCGCCTCCTCGGGCAGGGGTGGTGGCGGCGGCGGCAAGAAGAGGGCGGCGGCCGCGCTGCAGCTCAGCTCAGAGGACGGGATTGGCTCGTCGCTGCTCGACGCCGTGAGCGGCCGCGGCGGGGACGACCCAGCGGCGGCGTTTCTCAAGGCGGCGTCGCAGTCGGCGCTCGCGCACCACGTGGCCGAGGTGACCGCCACGGAGCGGTACCACGCGGCGCTGGGAGGCCACTTTGAGATCGAGGTGCTCGAGTCGCGTCGGCTCGACGGCGAGCCGACTGAGGCGGTCGCCACGTACAAGGTCGGCCGCAAGACCAAGCGGGAGCCGTTCGGGCTGCTCGCCCTCCCCGAGCTGCGCGGCGTCGTGCTGGCGGTGCTCGAGCAGCTGCAGACGGACCAGAGCAGCGCGAGCGTCGAGTTGCTCAAGCCCTTCAAGATGGCGCACGTCTCCCCGCGTGTGTTTTGGAACATGGTCCACCACCATGGGGGCGATGTCGCGGCGGGCCTGCGCGCGCTGCTGCCGGCGCAGGACTGGTCCTTCCTCGAGGAGCGCGACCGGCGGCTCTCGCACAAGGGCGCGCTCAACCACGCCGCGGCCGAGGAGGAGCGGAGGAGGAGGGAGGCGCGCGCCGGGGCGGCGGCGCCGGCCGCGGCGCCGGCCGCGGCGGCTGGCGGCGGAGGCGGGTCGGGCGCGGCGGCGGGGGAAGGACTGGCGGCGGCGGCGGCGGGCGAAGCGGGCATCGAGGAGGGGGGGCAGGAGGAGGAGGGTGAGGAGGAGGAGGAGCCGGCGGCCGACGACGCGGAGGGTTGGGAGGCGCGCGGGCGGCGGGCGATGCTGCGCGAGGGCGAGTACGACTACGCGTGCAGCTGCCTCAACCGCGCGCTCGGGCTGCGCATCGAAGCGGCGTCCGGCGACCACTCGAGCCCATCGCTGGCGGAGCCATGGTACTTGCACGGCTCCGCGCTGCTCCGGCGCGCTCAAGCGATGTGCTTGCGCGTCGCCGCCGCGGGCGCCGTCGACGCCGCCCCCGCCTCCTCCGCCCCCGCCTCCGCCTCCGCCTCCGCCTCCGCCTCGACGGCGGAGACAGTCGTCCCTGAGGGCTGGTCCTCCGTTGGGCCGGCCGTCGGCCGGCGCGTGCGCCGCTTCTTTGCGCTGCACGGCGCCGCCGACGCCGCCGACCGGCAAAGGCGCGTGAGATCACCCGAGATGATGCCGAGGTTGCCCGAGACTGTAGGCGCCGCCGACGGGACTGTGGTGGCGTGGAGGGACGCGGCGGGAGGGGGCGGGGCGGGAGGGGGCGGGGTGGAGGGCGGAGGAGGAGGAGGGGGCGGGGCGGAGGGCGGCGGTGCGACGGACGGGGCGGCGGCCGGAGAGGCGGACGGGGGGGGGCGGGGAGGGGAGGAGGGGGACGAGGAGGAGGAGGAGGAGGAGGAGGAGGAGGCGCTGTGGCGTGTGCTGCACGACGACGGCGACTGCGAGGAGCTCGACAAGGCGGAGCTCGACGAGGCGCTCGAGGCGGCGAGGGAGGGGCGCACGTTGGCGCAGGAGGCGGAGCTGGTCATCGAGGCCGCATGGGAGGCGCTCGAGATGAGCGCGGCGCTGCACGCGCGGCAAGAGGGCCACGAGCTGCAGTGCGCCGAGGCGCACGAGCGGCTTGGCGACGCGTCGCTGCAGAATGAGCAGCCCGAGCGCGCGCTGCAGGAGTACTGCCAGGCGCGCGACTTGCTCTGCACGCTGCGCGAGGGGGGCACCCTACCGCCGCACGACCGCCGCCTCGCCGACGTTGAGTTCTACCTCGGCGTGACCAACCTGCAGCTGGGCGCGCTCGACGAGGCCAAGGCGCACTACAGGCAGGCGGCCGCGACGCTGCGCTTGCGCCGCGCGACTCTGCTGCGCGCGAGTCTCGACGAGCAGATCGCCGGGCTCGAGCAGGCGGTGGCGGCGGGCGGCGGCGGCGGCGCCGACGCCGACACCGACGCCGACGCCGAGGTTCGCGAGATTTCCGAGCTCGTGGCGGAGATCGAAGGACGGATCGAAGAGCTGGTGGGGCACGTTGGCGGGGTCTAGTGATGTGCGGCCCGTGCCAGAACATGGGATGGTAGCATGCTCTGTGCAGGCGTCTTGCCGAGCACCCGAGCCTCGAAAGAAGGGAGCACAGAGGAACCCGTCGGCCGCCCACCGCGACTCGCGATCGAAAATTTCTTTTTATTCCTTATTCTCGTATACTTTAGAGAGTACCGCCGTCCCGCACGCAATACAGGCCTCTGCGCTCTCTGGAGTCTGGTCTCTGTCTTATCTCCGAGCCAGGGCACACAGCGGACACACTCCCACACGCAACATCAAACCATCACGCCCCCCCCTACCCTCCGCATGCACTAAACCCGCGCCACCCTGTTGAATTTTCGACGAGAACGACCCTCCCTAACAAGGCTGGAAGCGCGCCGCAATCTTGCGCAAGTTGTCCGGAGAAAGCCGCTGCGCCGGCCACGCCGATCGGTATTTGCCGAGTAGTTGCGCGTAGTCGCTGAGAGCCCCGGCGGCCGAAATGTCGCCGACGCCCCGCATCTCTGCCTCGATCTCGGCGTTGAGGCTGTCGCGGGTGACGGCGCCTCCCCCTCCGGGCAGTTGGAAGCAGTAGTCTCGCGGCAGCAGGTGCTGCCAGCAGTCGGCGCCCGCGGCCAGCGGGCCGGCGCCGCAGTACTCACTCGCGCCAAGCATCACCTACAGGGAGGGGGGAGGATAGCGTCCCCACAAGACTCACGCACGCGCAGAGGCGAGTCTGGTGGAGTTGTGTGGACGGTCTCCATCTCCTCACGGCATCTCTCCTCTCCTGCGCACGGCGACCTCTCCACGGCGCCCGGCCCCTCTCTCTCGTGTGGCGGGGGGGGGAGGAGGGATATGATAGCTCATCATGCACTGGTGATGAGCAGCAGCTCACCTCGAGGAAGGAGTGGTGCTGCGGGCAGAGGAAAGCGACGGCGGCGAGCCGCAGCAGCGGCATCTCCTCGGCCGGCACGCCCAAGTAGCGCGCGATGGTCAGGATCTGGAAGGTGGTGCCGCTCGACGAGGCGCGCAGCGGGAGGCCAGCCGCCTATTCACAGCTAGAGGTGGGTGAAGAGACGCTGTTCACAGTAGAGGCGCGCAGCGGGAGGCGAAGAGCACGCCGCCGCCGCGCACGCCAGCTCACACCCGTCGACGATGTCCCACCGCACGTCGCCCGAGAACCTGCTCACAGATGCCAGGTGTGAAGAGAGCGCCGCTCGGGGAGGTGCCGCCCCCACGTCGCCCGAGAGAGAACCACGGCATCGCGTCCGCGTCGGCGGCGGCCGCGGGAGCGGCGGCGCGAAGCCGCGCGGCGAAGGTGGACTCGGCGGGCGATAGGCCCATGTCGAGCGCGGCGAGGGTGCCTGAGGGAGGGGTGGGGAGGGGGGGAGGGGGGAGCGGGGGGAGAGGGGAGCTTGTGCTGCGCGAGGCGCGTGGGCGATCGTCTGCAGTGGTGTGGCCGCGCGCCTTCGTGCACTCGAGTCGCACTCTTCTGAGACGCCTCTGACGCGAGCGTGCGGAACTCGAGCTGCCGCGCCTGTGGAGGACATGTCTCGGACATGTCATGCACGTGTCCTGGTCGAGTGCGCGGAGCTGCACCTCGAAGCTGGCGCCGTCCACCCCTCCTGCTTGACGAACCACTTGCCCCAGAGCCCGTCCACCAGCGGCGTGAGAGCGCGCCTGATAGACGGCGACGACAGCTGAGCGACAATGGACTCGATGCCGTGCCCGTCCTCGCTGCTAGCGGCGGGCGCGCGCCGCTCACAGAAGAAGGCAAAGTCGATACCGAGCTGGCGAGCGAGCGCCTCCTCCTCTCCACCCGCGACGCCCCACCCCTCCTCCCTCGCGTCGGTTGCCTAGGCCATGAACAGACACCAAGGTCAGGGCCGGAATTCACCCCTGGGTTTCTTGCCGTCGTCCCTCCCAGCTGTGAGCAGGGGCCCGCCCCGCACACAGCGGGTCCCCCAAGGGTGAAGGGCCGGTAGGCGTTCGCGAAGCGCTGACGAGACACGGGGAGATACGGGGAGCTGTCCCGCATCTACGGTTGCCCGCCTCGAGCGCCGCAAGCAGCAGCGCCTCCTGGTTCACCACGCCAGTCTTCTCGCGCAGCCGCTCCTCCGAGCTGTCGGCGAGCAGGTCGCGCACCGCCTCGGGGTCCGAGCCAAAGGCGCCGAACCCGCCGCCCCGGCCGCTGGTGCTGAAGGTCTTGGCCATGAACTCCTCCACAAACGCCTCCGCCTCGGTGTCGCCTCCGCCCTCTTCGTGCTTGCGCGCGGCGACCGCGCGAACAAAGGCGACGACGCGGGCGAGCAGGCCGTTCACGGCGTGCATCACGCCGCTGTTGTCGTAAGCGACAGAGGCGACGACAAGCTCGAAGGCCGTCGACGCCTCGGTGTACTCGCGACGCGCCTCCCTCTCCACGAAGGCGGCCAGCTCGTCCGAGCAGCCCTCTCCCAGCGCGGCGCGCACCGCGCTGATGCTGAGAGGCAGAGGCAAGATCGGACACAGGCCCGCTCCAATCGGGGCCCAGCAGTCGACCTCGCCCTCACTCTGATTGGCTGCTGCTGCTGCGTGCTGCTGCACTAAACGCTCGACCAGCTCGCCGCTCGAGGGCTTGTCCAGCTCGCCGCTCGAGGGCTTGTCCAGCTCGTCCGCGTCGAAGTGGTGCGTGCGGCTCGAGCAGCAGCCCATTGCCCCCAGGGCTCTCAGGGGAGTTCCTTCCTCCAACGCGACAACGCCGCGTTTCGAAAAAATAATTTTTCGGCCATTGTCGCCCCCGCACATGCGTCCTTAAAATCCCTGTGTGGTGGCGGCGTGCCGTTCTCCCATCCCTCCCTTGGGTTGTGTGTTTTCTTTCTTTCTTTTCTTTTACATGCGTCGCTGGCCCACAGGGAGTGGCTAGGCTCTTCGTCGCTAGGCCCCTTGACGGCAATCCCACCTTTTGAGGCTAGCCCAGCGCGCCGCATTGTCTTGTGCAAGTGTGCGTGCGCAGTGTACGCTGTGCGTCTACGTACAACACTAGGCAACACCGACCGACCGTCCTCGAGACAGCCGTTGGCGTCGCACTTGCAGCACTTGAAAGCGTTGTCGTCTTCGGGGTTGTGGCGGCCACAGACCATATCGGCCATGCAGTTGTTGTTCTCGCCGTCGCTGCAAGGGCCAAGGCACACCAGTGAGGGAGGGCGAGACGATCGAGGGGTCCCGTCGAGGGGTCCCGTACCATGCGGAATCGACCCTATCCAGTGCTCAAGTGCTCAAGGGCCAAGGCTGGTCCACTGCGTTTTGGCACCAGGCAACGCCGTCTACGAGCGGACAGTCGCCGCCGTCGCAGTAGCAGCACTGGGGCTGAGCCCTGGTGTCGAGGTGTCGAGGCCCGGTGTCGAGGGTGTCGAGCTGCTGTCGAGGGATAGAGGTGTCGAGGCCTGTCGAGGCCTGTCGAGGCCTGTCGAGGCCTGTCGAGGCCTGTCGAGGCTGAGACCATGCTTACCAGTGTCGAGGGGTGTGTCGAGGGGTGTCGTGTTTTGATCTCTCGGCCAGTGGGCGCCCGTCCGCCGCCTCTGAGGGGGGGGGCTCCTAGACTGATAAAACAAAAAACAAAATGTAGAAACACAGTCAAAAACAGCCTGCGAGAGCGGCGCTGCGCGCCGCCTACCTCGTGCGGGTGTGAGTAACCCCAACGGCATCCAAAAACGTGTATAACCGAGACCATACAGAGGCGGATGGGCACGCACCCGCGAAGCGCCGCAAAAAGAGCTGGCGAGACTGAGAACAGGCGCGGAGTATGTGCGCGTCCTTTTTGCTTGCTAATACTGGAACAATTTCTAATGAGGATCAGAGAGCTCACAAACAAAAAGCTAGCTAGTATGAGCCCTTGAGCCCGATCCGTCGCAGAGTTCTCTTGCGTGCACGGAGCTATAGGTGCCTCGCCGTCCTCGCAGGAGTCGCTTAGGCGGCTCCCGTGGTGTACCTGTGTTAGTGCCAGTGCGCGCCAGTCCCGTGCCCAGTGAGGCAGTGTCGTGCGAGGGAGCTTCGTTGTAAAATTCTCTTTCTTGCTACATACAGTACATCCTACAAGCGCTTGCGCTTCGGCAGTTAGTGGTGCACTAACCTCCGAGAAACCCATCGGGGCGCTCCTCATCGCAAACCCTGTCAGCAGAGTCCTCCTACGGGAATGTACGTAAGAGCCACATACACTGAGTAGGCAAGGAGAGTTGGAGTATTTCACAGTATTTCCAGTATCCCAGTCTCTCAGGTGCTGTGGCGCAGTATTCCAGTATTTCAGACACGCAAAGCAAGTATTTTTATTGCAATACTGCATGCTACCTGCACACGGCCCTTGGCCAAGTATCCCAATATCCCGCAAGCAAAGGCCAAGTATCGGTGGCGCAAATACCTCTCTGCCGCGAGGGTGATACTGCAATACTGGGCCTGGGGCATGCAGATACTGTGTTACTGAAGTAGTGTGGCCATGGCAGTATCGCGCAGTATTTTCACCGCAATACTCGGAGCCGGCGCATCGGATACTGGGATACTGCAGGATACTGCGGGATACTGCTGGATACTGCTGGATACTGGCAATTCATGGAAGTGTGCCCGTGTGTAAGCCATGGTCCAGCAGCCAGCTGCATCCCCATCCTTCTCACTGGTAGTTGTCACCATGCAGCTGCACCCCTCCCTAGAGCATCCCTGGCTGATGTGGATACCGGATCCTGGGAGACTGGGATACTACGGACCGGCTTGGGCTACAAATGTCGCAAGTGGGCAGTGGTGATGGCAGGCGTTATGTGATTGTTCCAGAATGCATCGGCAGGAGTTGTGATGTGTGGAAGCTCACGAGTTCTCCGACTGCCGCTCGGTAGTCGGTAAAGAGCTCGTATCCGCTGCCATTTCTGCCGCCGAGCTGAACAGCGGCGGTGAAGCACGGCCGGCTGTGTCAGGACCGCGCCCGGCGCTGGAGAGTGCTCGAGAGCATCCGACATCGTCGGCCGCAGCGGCATGGTCGGCCGAGGTGATTCAGTTTATGTGTAGGTCCGTCACCCGTTTGCCGTGATGCTCAGCGGCGGCGCCCACACCGGTGGGTTCACTCGAGACGGTCCGGCGCCAAGCAAAGAGTTGTGTCGGTCACCAGAGCCTGCTGTGTGGCGGTGTGCGGCCGATTGGGGTCGTGCGGGGCTGGTTGGGGTTGGCGGGAGGAGACATCGAAGGAACTTCGGCGACATGAATGACGCTCTCGAACTTTTCGACCGTTCTATCACTTTCACGCGCCCTCCCTGGGTCACAGCACTTGCGAGAGGGCGCCGCGACGCTCGGCCGCCTGAGATGCAAAAGTTTGCACACGCCATTCAAGCGCTGCAGACGCTGGTGCTCCTGCGTGCCGGCGCCAAGCTTCAATTGCCAAGGCTGACGCTGCATCACAACGTTGATATCGCATGCAGTGCGCTTGTGGGAGCTGACGCGCCCAGCCAATCCAGCGCCCCTAGCCACCGAGATAGCTCTGGGACCCTTTTACGGCACAGCTGCTGTGTGATATACTATGATTCCTGTGCGTGCGCCGCAGGACGTGACCACCTTGCTGCGCTCAATGTTGGCCGTGACGCCTCCCCGATGTGGGTCTTCCTCTCCACACAGCACCAGCACCAGTGCACTGCCACGACACTCTCCCTCAGTTCCAGCACTGGCGCCTCAGCCGTCTTCGCCCACCTCGTTCCGTTGCCGCCTTCCCCACCCCGCCAGCCCTTGCACACGCGTTTACACCATTGCGCCGGCAGGGCGCGGGCACACACTTTACGGCAGTCTTCGCTTGCCCACGCTGCTCAATTGGCTCAATCCCTCCCCACCTAGCTGCTGCCTCGCATCCCGCTGCTGGACGTGCGACTGCGGCCGCAGTGCAATGCATCGCTCGAGGGCCGACCCCGGATACTGGGATACTGCAGGATACTGCAGGATACTGCGGGATACTGCTGGATACTGGCCATCTCTGATGCGGATACTGGGATACTCGGCGGGGCTGGAGGACCAAGTAGCGCCCAGTATTGCAGTATTATTACTTGGCATTTAGCTCTGTGATACTGGGATACTTCGCCGGCGTGGATCGAGTACTGTGATACTCACCGGGTGCGTCAACACGAGTATCGAAGTATCTGCGGTACCAACTCGGAGTATTGAAGTATTATTACTGCGCCATATCTCACAGGGAAATCTTTCACAGTATCCCAGTATTCGAGGCCTGCTGCGAAGTATCCCAGTATCTGGACAGCCTCCGCGAAGTAGAAGTAAGAAAATACTCCAACTCTCCTTGCCTACTGAGAGAGAGAAAATCAAGAGTTTGTAACGAACACTCACGGACGTCGTCCGCACCAACGGTTGGGCCACATACACCTGTGTATATGTCGGAGCTCGGCCTGCCCGCCATTGCAACATACGCCCCGGACGAGTCTGCCGTGCTCGCCGACCTCGCGCTCGCCGACCCCGCCAGCCCTGCCACCGCCCCGCTGGACAGCGATCTTCGGGACAGCGCGGAGCGGGCGCTCGAGGAAGGGGACATTCCAGCGCTGCTCAAACTGCTCGAAGAGGTTAGCAGAGTTACCCATGCGCACCAAGCCCTTCACTTTCAATGCGACGCGGGATTCTGAGCATGGAGATGTAGATCGATTCCGCCTCGCATCAGCCTTATTTTACCCATGCGACGAGGCGGGCATCACGGGAGCGGCGTTGGGCGGCGTGCTAATCCTCGCGCTTCAGCACAGCAGTCTTCCCGCCGTCAGCGCCCTGCTCGAGAGGGGCGCCAATCCCGAAGCCCTCCACGACGAGGACACGTGCGGTCCGCTCCCCTCCCCTCACACACGGCCACTCTGCCCGCACCGCCACTGTCACTGTGCATGTCAGTGACGTGTCCACGAGTGTCTGCAGGCCCCTGCACAGTGCTGCCGGCCTGCTCGGCGTCCAGCCTCAGTTCGCTCTCGAGGCGCTGAGGCAGATGCTGCTGACGGATACCAAGCGGGCGGGGCTGGACCAGGTCCGCACCGCACACCATCTGCCACCATGTACCGCATCGAGACCGTGCACCTTGCCCCACCTTATTCCGGAATCAGGTACGCGACGGTGAAGGGCGTACCGTCCTCGCCACCGCCCTCGGTGCTGCCAGGCTGGGGCAGGCAGACGAGGCGGCACGGCAGGTCCATAGTCTGCCCTCTCGCCCATCGCTGCCGCTCTCGGGTTCTCGGCCGTAACCGCTACCCCTTCAACCAGGCGTTTGCCGACGCATTGGACGCCGCTCTCGAGCTGCTGCTCGACCGAGGGTCGTCCCTCGCAGCGGCCGACGACAGAGGTGACAACGCCGGCGACACGCCCCTGCACATCGCCTCGGAGTGGGCGAGCGCGCCGATCCTCCGGCGGGCCCTCGCGCACCCAACGGCAGCGCGGGCGATGGCAGCAGCCGATGGCAGCGGTGGGAGGCCGCTGGACCGGGCGCTGGCTGCCGGGCGATCCGAGAATAGCACCCTGCTTCTTGCAACTCTCAAGGCACAGCGTGGCGGCGAGGCGCTCCTCCCCGCTCTCGCTACACACGCGCTCGGCCGTATGGCCGTCGCGTCGGGATCGCACTCGCAGCGCCACGCAGCGTCGGCCGACTACGGCGCGTGCGTGCGGATGCTTCTCGCGGCGCGGGCGGACCTCGAGCGTAAGGGGGCGCACAGGCGGGCACCACTCGGCGCGGCGGCAGCCAGCGGCGCGCCCGCTGCATTGCTCTCCGCCTTGCTCCGCGCCGGCGCGCGGCGAGACGCGGTGGACAAGGACGGCCGCTGTGCGCTGATGCTCGCGGCGGCGTACGGCCACTCGTCATCGGTGAGGGGAGACGTTGCCGACACGTCCGATACACACGCAATTTCGTCACTCGGACATCTCCTCCCCCCCCCCCCCCCCTTCACGAAGCGTGCGTCTCACCTCTCTCTCTCTCTCTCTCTCTCTCTCTCTCTCTCTCTCTCTCTCTCTCTCTCTCCCTGCCGTAGCTTGGCGAGCTGCTGGCTGCCCGTCCCCGCGGCAGCAGCGGCGGCGATAACAAGTCTCCGGCGACAGCGCGGCTGATGGCGCATGATGCTGCTGGCGCGACAGCACTGATGCTTGCGGCCGCACGGCCTTGTGCGGCATGTGTCTCCGCTCTCCTCGAGGTGTGCGCTTAGCACACGGTCCAACGTCTCTGCACGGGGATTGATGCCTGCCCAGCAAGCTTTTGCTCCCCCGTCTGCGCTCGCAGCTGTCACAGGCCAAACCCAAATCCACCCGCTCCGCATCGCCCACGGCCACACCAGGCGGGCGCTGCTGTGGCCGCTTGCGACGAGGACGGACGCTGCGCGCTGCTGTACGCCCTGCTGCCGGGGGCACCGCCCGTGCCCGCTGTTGCGGGCAAGCACCATCGCCGGCCATCTCGCGCCGCACGGCGGCCGGAGGCCCTCTCGACGAACAGGGCGGCGCTGGAGGCGACGGAGGAGCGGGCAACGGTCGTGGCGCTTCTTGTTGCGGCCGACTCCAATCTTAAGGCGCGCCGCACGCAGCTACCCCCCTTCCCCTGACTGGAGGCGCGTGCATCGGGACTCCGCTCGCCTGGCCGCAGGAACCCCCCGTCGCTAGCAGTGCTGAGAACCCCACCGCCGAGCCGGCCTCCACCTATGCCGTGGGCAGCGGCGAGGTGGGGCCGCCGCTCACAAAGGCGCCCACCGGTCTATCCTCGGCGGCGTTCCTCGCCCTCGCGTGCGACGTGGACGGGCGGTGCGGGCTGGAGGTGGCGTCGGGCATCGCGGCGGCGGCTGCCGGCGATGCCAAGGCGTACGAGGAAATTGAGAGGAGCTTCGCTGCAATCGGCGGTGTGGTCCGGCTGGGCAGCTTGGCACTCTCAGCCGCGTGCGCAAGAGACGACGCCCCCGCCGCGACGCACCTCCTCGCCGCCGGTGCCACTGCCTCGGGCGGAGGCGATGTGGCTCTGCCTGCGTCACTCGTCTCACGTGCCAATGCCGCACGGGTCCCGCTTGGCGCGCCGCTCGCCGCTGCCGCGCTCGCGGGGTCGCTGCAGCTCGTCGAGCTGCTACTTTCCAAGGGGGCTCCAGCGGGACCGTCCACGAGCTCCCGCGGGAAAGGCAGCGGAGCGTCGCCTTCTGAGGAAATCCCTCTGGCTCCACTCAGCGCAGCGGCCGCGGCGGGTTCGGTCACGTGCGCACGTGCGCTGCTCTCCGCTGGGGCTAGCGTCGATGCCGGGGCCGGCGAGGATGGCGCGTCGAGACAAGCCTCCACTTTTCCCACCCACGTCTAACCATTCCCCAGCCCTCTGAACCTGCACATTAGGCGGCGCCGCGCCGATCCATTGGGCCGCAGACTCTGGCGACGCCGAGACGATCAACGCGCTGCTCTCGGCCGGCGCCGACCCTGAGATGCGGGACGGCGCGGGCCGCTCCGCGCTCCGCCGTGCCGCCATCGCCGGCCAGGCCGGGGCACTGCCGATGCTTCTGCCGGCGACGCGGGCGGCGCTCGATGCGGAGCTGGACGGCGCGCTCGCCGACGGGGATCTAGGCGCGGCGGCGCTGCTTGCCGACGTTTCGGGCACGCCGTCGCTGCTGTGGCGGGTCATCGACCAGCAAGTGAGCTCCCTCCGTCGTGCATTGACCAACGCACCTCCTCCTGTACTGCGTGTCCGTTCGTTCACCTCCGCGCGTTGTGCTGCCATGACCCCCCCCACCACCCCACCACCCCACCACACCCCTCCACTCACCCTCCGACCGCCCTTCTCTGCCGCAGGGCGTCGACTCCGAGCTCCTCACCGCTCTGATTGCCGCGACGCCCCGCGCCGCCGTCAAGCGACACGCCGTGCACCAGTCGGACGCGCGCCGCACGGTGAGAAGACGAAGGGATTCGGTGCTCGCTGTAACTCCGCCTCACTACACGCCTGCACCCTGCAAACAGGTGATGCACGAGGCCGTCGACTCCGGATCGCACGCCACGGCATGCGCATTGTGTGCCGCACTGCCCGAGGAGCTGCTGCTGCAAAAGAGCGGCGACGACCTGACGCCGATCGGGCTGGCGATCGCCACGAAGGGAGACCGGGTTTCTTTGGTGAGCCGCTGTTTACCGTCCTGCTTTCAACCAGGCGATCGCCAACAGGGCGGAGCTGCTCGCCGAGGCGCTTGAGCGAGCCACCATCGCCCGGCTGGGCTTGGTTCTCGAGCTGCTGCACTCGGCCGACCCCAAGGCGGACGAGCGCGCCGCAGAGACGGCCGAGGCGGCGCGCACGGTTTGGCCGACTCTTGAGGCGGGAGGGCCACACAACTCACCATCGACAAGGCTGGCCCTCACCCGGCATTTGTCTCACGTTGCCATAATAGGTGAGGACCTCACAGTCATCCGGTCCGGTCGAGCCCACCCACCAGCTCGCCGCCGTGTGCGTTGAGCGGTGGGGCGGGTCGCGCCGCTCTTGCGTGTTGGCGGCGGCGGCGCAAGGGGCGCCCCTGCCCTCCGCCCGGGAGATCCTCACGGCGATGCGGTGCAAGATGGAGGGCGGAACGTGAGATGTGGTCTCGAGCGATGCACGCTACCTGCACTCGTGCTCTTCCCTCTCGGCTCCCCGCTGTCGTCACTCGCCGCGCTTTGTGGGTACGGCAAATTCTTATCGTCTTAGTGCCAGTGCGCGCCAGTGCCGTGCCTAGTGTTGGCCGTAGTAAATTCTTTGCAAGTGTCGTGAGAGGGTGCGCTTGGAGCACTCGGAGCACTTGGAGTGCAGTTAGTAACCTCACATCCAGGGCCGGGGAGCTAAGAAGCGCACCCAGCGGGCCGGATGATCGTAATTAGATGATCGGCATCGGGTTATTCTCTGGTAGGACGGGAACGAGATGATAGTAGGGAGTAGAAGAAAGCAAAGAGGGGCCCTGCGCACGCACGACTCCGCAGGAGAAGCCCCTCCCCAAGACAAAACACAAGGGAGAGGTGGGTGGGTCACAGAAGACTGCGTGCGCGCTGTCGCGGGATGAATGTAGCTGAACAGTGGACAACGCGACACAGGGATTTGCTGCGATAGCTACGGATTCTCTGGCGGGCTGCGAGCGGCGCTGAAAGCGCGATACAAGCTCTGCGCCCGCGGCGGGGCTGCGAGCCTTTTCACAGCGGATTTCAAAGGGTGTTTTTCGCTTCCGCGGCCTGGCGGAATAGGTAGGTAGAGCCGTAGGTACCCGGGTAGGTAGGCACGGAGCTGGCGGTTGGCGCCCGCATAGGTAGGGTAGGGCGCTCTTATTGTCGCGAGACAGTTTGGGCAATCCTGTTTTTTTCAGGCGAGGAGAGGCTCTCCTCGGAGAGGTCGTGAAGATTCACTTTCCCTTCCGCTTCTACTCCCTACTCCGTGCCGAGTGCGTCTCTCCCCACTCTCGAATCATTCGGCGGAGCATGTGATGATTGGCGAGGCAAGTGTGCTGGAGCTCCTCGCCCGTCATCGGGCTCGTCGACTTGGTCGCGAGCCAGCGCTCGATCGCCGACCGCTCGTAAGCATGCCCGTCCGCCGCCATCACCGGGTCGCTCATGACCTCGGTCGTGATCGGGCAGATGAAGTCGGCCGGCGGCTCCTCCTCCTCCACCGAAGGCGGCCTCTCTGCAGCCAAAGAGGACGACGCTTGCTCGTCAGGCGCCCGCCTCTCCTCCCCCAGCCTCGCGCTCTCCTCGAGCGCCGCCGCCAACTCCGCCTCCTCCGCCGCCGCCAGCGCTGCCTCATCCTCGGGCTCCTGCGACGGGCCAGCGCCGCCTCCGCCACCCTTCCCCTTCTTCTTCTTCTTCTTCCCCTTCTTGCTCTCCTTGGCGCGCTCCCCCGCCTGCTTCTCCGCCTCCTCCTCCGCCAGCAGCTCCTGGGCGGCGCGGTCGGCGCGCTCACGCGCGGCACGCTTCGCTTCGTGCACGAGCGCGCGGCGCTTCGCCTCAGCATTCCGCGACGCCTCCGCCTCTGCCGCCGCTCTCACCGCCTCCCTCGCCGCTGCATGCTCCTCGATGACGCGCACGCACTCGGCGTGGCCCTTCAGCTTGGCCCACTGCAGCGCTGTCTTGCCGTTCTCAGAGCGCAGTGCCGTGTCCGCGCCCGCCCGCAGCAGGCGGAGCACGATGGCGGGGTAGCCTTCGATGGCGGCGCACAGCAGCGCGGTGCAGCCGCTGCTGCTCTGCAGGTTGATCTCCGCCCCGCGCTGCAGCAGCAGATCGACCACCCGCTCGTGGCCCTCCTGGGCGGCTAGCGCCAGCGCTGTGATGCCGCTCACACCGGCCGCCCAGCAAGTCGCGTTGACCTGCCCGCCGCTGTCGAGCCACGCCAGCAGCGCCGCCTCGTCGCCTTCGAGAGCTGCTTTCGCGGCCTCTTCGGGAAGGCTGCCCAGCGAGCTAGAAGAGGCCGCCGCGCTCCCTACCGCCGCCGCCTCGCCCGAGGAAGCGCCGCCCGCACCGCCCGCCGCCGCCTCGCGCTGGGCCGCAGTCACCTCCGCGACGTGCTGCCGGAAGGCCTGGACGCACGCGGCGTGGCCCTTCTCCCTGGCGAACTGCAGCGCTGTCTTGCCGTCCTCAGAGCGCAGCTTCGCCTCCGCGCCCGCCCGCAGCAGGCGGAGCACGATGGCGGGCTGGCCTTGCCCGGCGGCGACCATCAGCGCGTTCCAGCCGCTGCTGTTCTGCTTGTTGATTTCCGCGCCGCACTGCAACAGCAGCTCGACCACCCGCTCGTGGCCTTGGCTGGCGGCGAACATCAGCGCGGTGTAGCCTTTGCTGTTCTGCTTGTCTATCTCCGCGCCGCGCTGCAAGAGAATATCGACCACCCGCTCGTGGCGCTTGGCGGCGGCGACCATCAGCGCGGTATCGCCTTTGCAGGTCTGCTTGTTGATCTCCGCGCCGCGCTGTAGCAGCAACTCGACCACCCGCTCGTGGCCTTTGGCGGCGGCGATAATCAGCGCGGTGCGGCCGGTGTTGTTCTGCAGGTTGATCTCCGCGCCGCGCTGAAGCAGCCGCTCGACCGCCCGCTCGTTGCCATGCTGGGCGGCGTTCATCAGCGCGGTGCGGCCGGTGCTGTTCTGCTTGTCGATCTCCGCGCCGCGCTGCAGCAGCAGCTCGACCACCCGCTCGTGTCCGTGGCAAGCGGCGAGCATCAGCGCGGTGACGCCGTCGCTGTTCTGCAGCTCGACCTCCGCACCGCGCCGCAGCAGCAACTCAACCACCCGCTCGTGGCTTTTGGCGGCGGCAAGCATCAGCGCGGTGACGCCGCGCACATCGCCTACCCCGCAAGTCGCGTTGACCCGCCCGCCGCTCTCAAGCCACGCCAGCAGCACCGCTTCGTCGCCTTGCTCAGCCGCGGTCCCAACCACCTGGGAAAGTCTTCCCACATGGCCGGTCTCCGCGATGGCAACTCCGGCAACTCCCTTCTCTGGCAACTCCGGCGGCGAAGCGGCACGGGGCATCGAAGGTGTAGAGTGGATGGGGCGGGGCGCGCACTAAAGAATTTCACTGGGAGTCCTACTAAAAGAAATAAAACTCGAGGCGCCGGCCGCCAGACGCCTCGCGGTGGGTTCTTCACCGAGGGGCGGCCATGCTCTCCGTCGAGCAGCCGGTTGCGGTGGGGGCGCACAAGGACGTCGAGATGTCGGACGCGCCCGCCGCCGCCGCCGCCGCGCCCGCCAAGGCGGCGCCCGACGTCTACGCGCGCATGAAGGCGCTGCAGCGGCAGCTCGAGTTTCTCGACATCCATTGATGTGGAAGTCGGCGCGGTTGCGCGTGTCGATGAGTGCACCCCCGCGCCGCGTACGGGGGCGAGAGGCGGCGTGCGAGGGCGTCGCGAGGACGGCGAGGACGAACAGACGGCGTGCAGCAAAGTTGGGGTGCTGGCCCTTGGGTGCCGGGGGCAGATAACAAAATGACGATACTCCTCCTTTTAACCCTTTTGCTTCATAAGGGTCCTGAGGACCAAATCTCGATATATCTCCAGTCGTAGCGGTGGAACTTTAAAACGGCTCGGTAAATATTTAGCCATATATGAGAGGATTACGCCACAGTGTCGTTTGAGGGGTGTGTTGTGGTTCTTGCCCAAAAATGCGTGTGGTTTTTGCCCATGCACATTTTTTGCATTTTTTCATTATGTGCATATCGCACATATCATGGCATTTGAACGCATTCTAAGAATTTTGGCGCTTTGTGAGATATCGTGGGAATTTGTGATCAGTTGGTTGAGCCAGTGATTCCCGCATGGAGCTCATGAGCAGAGGCCTTAGGGACGATGTCGAAATGGGGTCGTCATAAGGCCATCTCAGTGGCTACACGGCCTGCCACGGCGTGTGTGCCACGACTCTGGACGACTCTGAACCGGCGCTTGATGCGGGCATAACTTGCGATCCCGACCTTGCGCGACGTGCCTATTAGTGCATTCTACCATCTACTCGCACATGGCAAGCATGGGCGACGCGTCAGGCCCCATGCCGGCCATCCAAGATATGCGTGCGCCAAGGGTTTGCAGCTACCTTAAGGCGTGGCCCGAGGAAATTCTTTTCGCGCGGCGCTGAGTGAGTTCTGTCTGCGCAAGTCATGTGGCTGCTGGCTGTTGGAGCCTCCGCTCTCTTCACAGCACCCCGCGTACGCGTCCTCTCCCCGCCGCCCGTGCACGCGGCACTGCGGTCGACGCATCCCACCGCACTTGCCCTGCCTCCGACCACGCTGCTCCCGGCGGGGCTGCTGCCAGCCGGGCTGCTGCCCGAGGCGGTGGCGCTCAACACCGTGCTCTTCGGCGCGTTCGGCGCCAGCGGCGCATCCGAGCGCATGCTAACGCCGTCGGGCTTTGCCCACGCCTGGGCGCTCGGCGTCATCCTCTGGTCCACACTCGGCTGGCGCGGCTTCGTGGCGGGCGTGGCCTATCTGCTGTGTGGCTCCGCGGTGACAAAGGTGGGCCGCGCGAAGAAGGAGGCGCTCGGCATCTCCGAGGGCCGCGGCGGCCGGCGCGGCCCCGAAAACGTGTGGGGATCGGCGGCGACCGCCGCCCTTTGCGCGCTCGCGTACCGGCGGGCGGTGCTCGGCCGGGCCGCGGTAGCGCTGTCGCCGCCGGCGCTGCTTGTTGGCGTGGTGGCGTCGCTCGCGACCAAGCTGGGCGATACCTTCGCCTCCGAGATAGGCAAGGCCTATGGCCGCACCACCTACCTCAGCACCACCTTCCGGCGCGTGCCCCCGGGCACCGAGGGGGCTGTCTCACTGGAGGGGACCCTCGCGGGCGTCGGTGGCTCGCTCATACTAGCCGGCTACGGGGTGGGGAGCGGCCTGATGCCGCCGGCGGCGGCGCTGCCGACGGTACTTGCCGCGTGGATCGCAAACAACGTCGAGTCGATCATCGGCGCGACGGCGCAGGGCAAACAGGGCCTCGGCTGGCTCACCAACGAGGTGGTCAACTTCATCAACACGCTCGTGGGCGCCGCAGCCGCCATCGGGCTGTGCCTCCTCACCGGGGCTGTCTGAGCGTGCGCGCCGCCGCGCGCCCTCGACTGAGCGTCTCCTCATTCCTCAATCACATGGAGTTGGAGATCGCAATGCCACTTGCAGAGACACACTCTATATCGGGGTTTCCTGCGATGCCGATAAGGAGTCACATATTGCTATTTTTATTTTCCACACGCGCTTCGCGTTCAGAGCTACTGTCAGGGAAACTCGAGCAACTATGCGGCGATCAGCGCTCACATGCGCTCTGGGAGCGCTCTGAGTCTGACCTCTGTCCCGCGCCGCCGGAGCGAGAGAGGATCATTCTGACGAGCCTGAGCGGTGTGTGGCGTCTCAAGCGCGCGCCTCGCTCGAGGCCACAACTACGTACGACGAGTCAGATACGACTCCGGGCCCGGCTGTGCGTCCATCAAAACCACCGCCGCGACGACGGCGTACGCGCCGACGGCCCTCGGCCGACATAGGCGTCCTGTGCCGACGAGGAGAAGTCGCCGAGGTTGCGCGGGTCGACGAAGCGGCGGGCCTCGTCGGGGTCCATCCCCACGCGGCCGCCGCCCCCCGTCCCCGGCCGCGGCGCCTAGTTTCACAAAACTTGTTGTTGAGAAGAAAATGCCTGCCATGGCGCTGCGCGCTAGTCTGTGAGAAATCCCTGTGTGGTGGCGGCGTGCCGTTCTCCCATCCCTCCCTTGGGTTGTGTGTTTTCTTTCTTTCTTTCTTTAGTCTGTGAGAGGTTGAGGTGTGAGCCCTGGAGGCCCTGGGGATGGGGGAGGGGGGGATGCCACGCTCCGTCAACGCCGTGTGAACCGTGCCGGGCCCCGGCCCGACTACGCGCCCGGAAGGTTCCGAGCAAGTTCTGGGGAGTAGCGAGGTGTGTGGCTTACCTCGGGCCGTGAAGAGCTGGGGAAGTGCGAGCTGGCGGTCCCCTCCCGGGCTCTCTCTCGGCTATGACAGTGGCGCGGACCGGTGCCGGTCGTCCTTGCGCAATGCTGGAGCTGGGTGCGACGGGCGGGCGGGCCAGGGTGCGGCGGCAGATCGGACACTGCGGGGTGGGCAAAACGCGCGGCCAATGCAAATTGCAATGTCGCGTCCTGAATCTCCGGTTGTCTTTGAACCTCGCACGAAACACGGCCTGTGGCTGGCCGTGACACCCCACAAGTTTCGATTATGGGGAGTGGGCACCGCCTGGAATTGACCTCACCGTCAGGGAGAACGCCTTTTGACATGCACCGCGCGGTTTCATTCCTGCTCCTAGCCCTGGCGTGCGCCTTCACGGCGGCGGCTCAAGTCACTGGAATCCACAGCAAACCGCTGGTTAGCGTTGTGCTCGTGACATGCGGCCGGCCTGAGTACCTCAAGCTCGCGCTCGCGCAGATCCACGAGCAGTCGTACCCAAACCTCGAGGTGGTTCTGGTGGTGGACGGCACACCCGTCGATTTGAGCCGCGAGCCGAGGCTCCACGTCCACCCCGCGTCCTCGTTCACGACCCCATCCTCCGCCAATCTCCTCGACGTGCGGGTTGTCCAGTTTGACCATCGGGCCACAGTCGGCGAGAAGCGAAATGCAGCTGTGCTCACTGCACGTGGCGAGATCCTGGTGCACTGAGACGACGACGATCTGTACGACCCGACGCGGATCGAGGCCCAGATTGCCCCCCTCCTCGACAACACAGCTCGCATGAGCGCCCTCGTCTACTCGCACGCGGCAGCTCATGCGGCTGGCGGTCCTCCTCAGTGGTACTCTGTCAAGAAGAGCGGCGCGGCGCAGGTGATGCCCGCCTCGCTGGCGTACAAGAAGAGCTCGGCGCTCGCACTCGGCCTGTTCCCCAACGTCTCCCTCGGCGAGGACATTGGACTCATCCAAGCCGGCCTCTCGAGCTGCGAGCAACTTGCAACGGCGCGCGCATTCACCAAGCTCTGTTGCTCCTGCCACTCTTCCGCTCGTTGCTGCCCGCTCGCAGCCCTGCTTGAGCATGTAGTCGCCTCGCCCAACGGCTTGAAGTGGCCTCGCCCAACCCGCATGTGCTGAGTGTGTGTGTGGTCTCTCGCATCAGGTTGCGGTCCCCTCCGTCTACACGCGCCATGGCGGCCACGCCGGCAACACTTGGCAGTGGGCAGAGGACAGGTCGATGGAGTCGCACGGCTTCGGCGCGTCGGCCCGCCCGCGCTTCGTGAGCGACGTGCTCCTTCAGGCCTACATGGCGGCCGAGGCGGACACATCGACGCGTGGGGCATGCGACGTCGTCGCGCGCGAGCTGCCAACCTTCGCCGAGCACACTTTCCCTAAGCTGCCTCCCCGCTGCTGCGAGGGCTCCGCCGACCCCTCCCGCTGCCTGACGAAGGCCGAGGTGGAGGGGCGCGCGCGGCGTAGGCTGCAGTACAGCTATGCCTACGGCGAGCAGGATCCCCACCTCCACTTTGCCCACGGGGGCCGCGCTGACTTCCGCGGCCGCGACAACCAGATTTACAACTTTTTGTCTGCGCCCAACCTGGCGGTGAACGTGAAGACCGAGGCGGCCTCCTTCAAGCTGCACGGCGGCAAGCTGACGGTGGACGGGTCCTTCATGACTGAGGCGCACATCGTGGCGCGCGTCGGTGGGACGAAACGCAAATGGGCCAACGTCTCCTTCTGGGCGTCGAAGCTGAACGACGCGAACTGGGGCTGGCGGATGATCGGCGGCTCGTGCGGCGGACACCATTTCAACCTTGGTCCTGGTGGCGTCAAGACGTGTGAGGAGCTGAGCATCAAGGTCGACCTGTCGAGCGCAACCTTCTCGCTCGGCAACTGGACCATCATCGCTCGCGGCAACGCCGTCTACGACCGCCTCTCCGGCCCAACGCACCGGCTCGACGTCGACTTCAAGTCGCACGGCGATGCAGCGAGTCGCAGCCTCCCCCACGGTATTGTGGGGCAGTCGTTCTCCTGGTCGAGCGCGAGGAACGGCAAGACGGATGAGTACCCGGCGACAGGCTACTACAAGACTGCAGCCATGGCGGAGGGCGCCATCCAGGGCGAGGCGGCCATGTACGAGGTGCTGGGACCATACGCGACGCGCTTTGCCTTCTCGCGCTTCGACGGAGAGGAGCAAACAGTCTCGTCGGCCTCACCGCCAGTCTTTGGCGACGCCTCGGCCACGGACTGAGCGCAATCCGACGTCCTTGGCATGTCGCCACCAAGCAGGAGCAGAGGCGGCGGCAGGGAGAGTGGCAACTCAATCGACCATCAAGCGTTCTCGCTGGAGCGCTGCAAGCCACGGTGAAAAGAGACAAGGCGCCGTGAGTGGAGTCCTGCGGGAGCACTGCATCAGGTTCAGTAAGAGGTGACCCCACTTCGGGCGCAGTGTTCATAGAAGTCAGCGCGAACTGATAAGTAGGTTGTGGGGGGAGGTACTCTATTTGTGCGAATGTGTGCTAGGAATTCCGCCGATCTCCCGCTAACGGATCTTAACCCAACTGTAAGAATTTACGGAAGACTCCCTCGCACAACACGGGGCACGGGACTGGCGCGCACTGCCACTGCTGGCACTAACACAGCTCGCACAGCCCACAGCGTCACAGGTACCAGCTACGAGCTACCACCGGGAAAATAAAGAAATAAAGCACCACTTCCAAGTGCTCCAAGTACCCCTTGCGCTATAGCACCGCCACTGTCCTTACGATGGCGGGGCACCGGCCACCGCTCTTACGTAGTGTTAGTCAGAGTGTTTGGGTGAGATACTCAGTGAGAACAGGCGGAGTGTGTGTGCCTGTACGCGATTGGGAGAGCACTTGTGACAAGGCATGGTTAGGCGAGTGGCAGTCGCTAGTGCGGACTTGCTAAGTCGTGTGTGCTCCCTTTTGCTGGCTAAGACTGGAACAATTTTTTTTGTAGTGTTAGTCAGAAAAAGAAATTGATACTCAGAGGCCCCTCTAGCTCTACCACCACTGCACACTGCCAGTGCCACTGGCACTGCCACCCTCCCACGGCACTGCCAACACTGGACACTTCACAGAGACAGTGGTACCACGCGAGTGCTGCGATCGGCCGCGCACGGCCAGCGCACGGCTCCAAACGCAAAAGTCGCGGCTGCAGCCTCTTTGGGGCAGCAGCGACCCGTCAGTTGGCCTGGACAGGCTGCCGGTGGTCGAGCGTGGGCTTGCCTCCGGAAGAGGCGGCGGAAGAGGCGGCGTCCGCGTCGCCTTAGCGTGAGGAGAGGAAGAGGTCAACGCTGCCCCCTCTCCACAAGAGGTGTCCGCAAGATGGGGCAGGGGCGAGGCGCGGGGGGGGCGAGGGGGGGGGGGGGGAGATCGCCTTGGTCCTTGGCGGCGTCGGTGCGCGCAAAGGCGCTGAGCTTGGCGGCGGTGGCGGGCGAGGCCTGCGCGCGACGGAGGGGGGTCGGGGTCGGGGGCGGCCAGCGTGGCCGTGGGGGGCGGCCGCGGATGGGGACAGGGAGGGCGAGGGAAGAGGGGCAGAAAGGAGGGCGAGGGGAGAGAGAAGGCGAGGGGCGAGGGGGGAGGGAGGGCTCGGTCGGCAGTGGTGCCGGGCGGCGCCGCGCCTGCGACGCGATCGGCGACGTCGCGACGACAGAGAGCAGGAGCTCGACGCCTGTCGAAAGAGGGACGAGGCGGGCTCGGAGGCGGCGGCGAGGGCGGAGGAGGCGAGGGCGGAGGCGGCGAGGGCGGCGGCGGGCTGGGCGGTGGTGGGCTTGGCGGCGGCGGGCTGGGCGGTGGGGGCAAGGGCGGCGGCGGCGAGGGCGGCGGCGGTGAAGGCGGAGGAGGCGAGGGCGGTGGAGGGTCCGAGAAGGGTCGGAGAAGGGTCGGAGAAGGGTCGGAGAAGGGTCCGGGCAGAAGCAGAAGGCCGAGGGAGGCGGAGCTGCGCGCCGTCGGCTGCCTTCTTGGAGAGCTTGTCCACGACGCTCATCCGCCGGTTGAGCGCGTTGACCTGAGCACGTCTGGACGCGTGAACGGCGCCTCTTCACAGAGCGCAGCCCGCCAGCGGCGCGCGCGCGCGCATTCTCTCCGACGGCCTTGACGTCTTTTTTCACCTCGGCCACGTCCTCCCCGACCTGAGCAGATGAGCCGAGGTCGGCCGAGGTCGGCCGAGGTCGGCCGAGCTTCGCCAAGACTGCCCCAGGACTGTGCGGCCCTCGCCCGTCGCCCCTGCCTGGCGGGCTGTGGCGCGACGGTGTGTGCGCCCTCCCTCCCTGTGTACCTTCCTCCCCCCCTCCTCGCCGTGTACCTCCCCCCCCTCCCTGCGCACGCCCCTCCCCGCCTCTCACCGCCCTCCCCTCCTCCTCAGCGCCCTCCGCCCCTCCTCCCGCCCTCTGCTCGCGCGCACCTTGCCGAGCGAGTCGGTCAGCTCTCGCAGCTTCTCGTGCACAGTCTCGAGCTGGGCGAGGAGCTCCTCCCGCAGGCGGGCGAGCATCGCCTCCACCGACGCCCGCACGCCCTCGAGTCCCGCCTTCAGCTGGCTCCCCGAGACCCAACCCACCCGCTCCCACCCGAACGTGTAGATTGCGAGGCCGAGCCCGCCCACCGCGGCGCCAAAGACGACGACGGCGGTGCGCGAGCCCGACTGCGCCCGCACGCTGCGGTCGAGAGCGGCGACCGCCGCCTGCGTCGCCGCCACCGACGATGCGATCTCTGGATTCGGCGGCGGCGGCGGCGCTGACCGGCCCGTGAGCGCGCCAAAGAGGCGCTGCGGCAGGTCCGGGATGGCGCTCGAGAGCCAGCCGCTCGCTCCGTCGGAGCCGGAGCCGGAGGACGTGGCGACCGCGGCGCCGGCGCCGCCCAAAGCGAGACCCGCCCGTGCGCGAGCAGACATTGGTAGCGAGACCCAAGACCCAAAGCGACGCCCACTGAGCGCGTGAGAAAAGAATTTACCGTGTTTCCACCGAAAAAATTTCGGGATCCGTTACGCAAAGCATGGCATCCGCCTCCGCTCTTGCGCTGCTCGCTCGCCCGGGCGGAGGACATGGCCGCCGAGGAGGCGAGTGGGCACCTGCCAGGCCTTCCGCAGGCAGCCTATTGGGCAGACTGAGGGTCAGCTCTGCGTGGCGTGGCCCGTGCGCTGCGCTGCGCAAAGCTGCGGGTGGTGAGGGAGCATCTGGTGCTTCCACTGGGAGGCGCGCACCTCCTGCAGCTGGTGGAGGGCCATGCTGCCGTGTGCCTGCTCCGTGGACAGGACAGGGAGGCGGCACCGCAGCGCCACGGCCTCCGCTGCTTGCCGGTGCAGCAATGTGCTGCCTGGTGAGCAGCCTGCTGGTTCTGTGTGCGGCGTTGACGAGGCTGCAGTGGCACTGTACTGCATGCCACGGCGAGTGGCGTGCGGCGCGCGCGTCGCCGCGCGTGGCACGGGAGGCGCGAGAGGCGCGGCTGTCGGTCAACCCCGCGGCGCATGCGCGCCGCGGAAGCTGCTCGACAGGCGACTTCATTGCGAACGCGGTCGCCGTTACTCCAACTTTGCTTTGCCGATCAAAAGTGCCCGTCCTTTGCTTTTTAGCCGCCGAAAGTTAGCATGCTGTTTTTCTTTATAGGTGCCTCGCAGCTGCGTATTCTCGTATTATCTTCGAGTAAGGGATCGCGTGGGGGCGGTACGTATCCCCGTATCACTAGCTCCGAGTAGAGGGGGCGTCCTTGCAGTTAAGGGGAAACCTGGTACGCGGGTCCAACCCTCGGAGAGTATTCTTTAGCTCCGAGTAGAGGGTGCGTTCTGCTGCTAGGGGAAACCCGGAGCGCGGTACTATCCCTCGGAGAGTATTCTTTAGCTCCGAGTAGAGGGGCGGCGTTCTGCAGTTAAGGGGAAACCCGGTACACGGAGCCAACCCTCGGAGACCCGTGTTATGGCCCTGCGACCGCGCACCCCCGGGGCTAGGGCTCTCTAGCCCGAGGGCTAGAGCGCGCCGGCGGGCGCGCTCTAGCCGGTAACCCGATCCCAATCGTCCGGCCAACTGGGTGCGCTTCTGAGCTCCCCGGTCCTGGGCGTGCGGCAACTAACTGCACTCCAAGTGCTCCAAGTGCTCCACCTAACCAGCGACCAGTAGGAGGCCCGCGCCTGCCCCCGTGCCGCCGGGTGCAACCTGTCCTATACGCTGCAAGACGTCGAACCGCATGTCGTCGGAGAGAGCGCCGAGGCGCGTCTCCTCGTCCTTGGAGTGGTCCCCGTGGACCGTAATGATTGGCCTAGCCATGCGCCAGAAAGCAGGAGAGAACCCGGCAGGCACACGAGGGAGCGCAGGTCCGTCTGAATGGGACCACGACTGGAGTACTAGTCTCCGCCGGAATTCCGGCGGGCACCCTCCCCGGTCAGGACGGGTCCCCCCCAGGACGACGGCGCTAGGCATTCTAGCCACTTGCACGCCCCCCCTCGCGCCAAAACACCATCATGTCGCCCTAAAGGGCGACAGCTAGCAGTCCTTACAAGATCCTGCTCGTGCAGGTGGGGACCCTGTCCTTCTCCCACCCCTCGTTTGGCGTGCCCGTTTTATTTATTTATTTATTACTAACCAGCGACAGCGCTCTACACCTCACACCTCTACCTCCCTCAGCGCCTGCTCATCCCTCGTCAACACACCGCCGCTCGAGTTCGCGCAAGCGCTCCGTGCCCATCCGGCGGAGCACACACTTGTTGCCCTCGGGCACCGCCTGCGGGTCCGCTCGCGGTGGGGTGGAGGACAGCGGTGCCCCTCTGCTACGCCGCGTCGGTCTCGTCGACTCTCGGTGTGTACGGCGTCTCCCTCGCCTTCACCGACGGCGGTGCCGGAGCTGGTGGGTCTCCCTTCCTGCCTGGCCAGAGGCAGCAGCCGCGCGGGTGGAGGGCTACCTCGAGGGGTCGACACTACGCCTCTTCCTGCACCGCCAGGCGCCGCCAGGCGCCACCGGCACACTCGGCCTCTTCGCCGCTTACCTGCCAGGCGTCCGGCCCAGGACCTTCTGCGCAATTGTGGTGTTTGGAGACGCCTGCTGTGGATCCCGGCCTCTGCGGCGGTGGCGGAGGTGCTGTCGGCGAGGGGACTGGGGGAGCAGCAAGAGACGAGCGGACTACTTTCGGCGTAGCAGTTGACGTCTAGATTCCCAAACACGAAAGGGTCTGGGCTCGTTTACGGCCCCTTGTTTGTACGTCCACGGCCTGGAGGCCAGCCGCATTCCGGGAACAAGTTCAAGTATGTGGGGAGGTTAAATTATGACATTAGTATGTGTCCTATCTAGATCTACCTCGCCAGAAGCATCGCATGATCCTTCCCCCTCGCTGGCGAAGACCGACGCGGTGTGACTGCAGTGGGTCTCACGGCAGCTGGTGGACCGCTCCCATCGATGTAGCCGTTCTAGCTTAGCTTGTCGTTACGTGAAACCCTATAGGGGGGGGCGGGGACGCCAGCAGACACGGCCAGATACGCTAATTGCAAAACGGAATGATAACCACTAGGGACGAAAGCACAGCCAGAGCTCGTTATAACCTAGATCGTCAGGGACCCGCACTCCTTGACCGCCAGGGTCGCAATGGTCGTATTTCGGATCGAAGCAAATTGCCGCGCGCAACCTTGCGCCCAGAGTGCTGATTTGCTTGGGCGACTAGCCCACTCAGTCTCTGAGCAGTAGTACCATCCCAGCAAGTCGTTGATCGACGAGCAGCCGCCCGAGCATGGCGACGCCCACGCATAGAAAGTGCCGTGGGCGGCAGCTGGGCAATGAATGCAGTCTTGCAGAACGACGATGGAGCGCCCGCGCCGCGGCTTGGTGGGCGGCAGGGGCGTGGAAAGCGCTTGCCAACGTCGATGGCCGCCTTGACCGCACCGTTGATGGGCACAGATCCACCTGAGACTCGCCGAAGCCGTCCTCAGAAGCTTCGGCCACCATCCGGCTTTGAGCACGGTTGCTCATTGAGTCGGCGGCACTCGGCGACGTGGCCTCGGTGTCGCAGTCCCTAGCCAAGGGCGTTGATCCAAACGTTGGAGACTACGACGGGAGGACGGCGCTGCACGTTGCCGCCACCCTCGGCCAGATGCGCGTGGTGGAGGCGCTGCTGCGATCGCCCACCGCACTCGTCGATGTCTTTGACCGGTGGGGCAAGACACCGCTGCAGGACGCGTCGGAGAATGGACACGAGGCTGTGGCGACGTTCCTCCGGGCGCACGGCGCCACCGTCAAGAGCGCAAAGGCGGCGAAGCTGCTCTGCACGGCGGCAGCTGCGGGCAACATCGACCGCCTGGTGCGGCTCCTGGCCGAGGGGAGCGATATCAACGTGTCGGACTACGACGGGGGACCGCACTCCATCTCGCCGCCTCGGAAGGGCACGCCCCGGCTGTTCGCTGGCTACTGTTGCACGGCGCCAACGCCAAAGCCCTCGACGGTTCGGCGGCTCGCCTCTGGACGACTCATATCGCGAGGACCGGCAGCCACGAGGTGCGCCAAATCCTCCAACAAAGCTCGGCGCACACCGCTGGCCGCGCTTCCATCGCCAGTGTTGCACCACAGCAGCAGGCTGAAGAGGCCCCAGTGGTCCGTTCAGCCTCGGCACCGCTGCCACCGCAGCTGCCGCCCCCGGATGAGTCACCGCCCGTCCCGGTCAGTAGAGCCGTACGACCCCACGTCATGTCGGATAGTTCTTGAACAATAGCAGCAAAATATCATTGGTGTGGGGCGGGTGTGTGTGTACGATAGAGGCGAGAGAGCAGAGGAATAGAGGCCCCCCTCTCCCGCGGCGGTTGCGCCCTGACGCCCCCCCTCCCTCCGGCGCTCCTCGCCGGCCACGGGCCTCGCTCCGCATACTAAAGCCGTAGTACGGCTATAGAGCCGTACTGACGTAGGGCATATTAGAGTACTTTACGGTGTGTGCTGTATGGCGCATAGTTGCACATGTAACCATGGTGCTTCACGCTTCAGTGTGCCGAGAGGTGAAGGAGCACAGTTATGCTCGCTCGTGGCGTTCAATCGGAGAGGCGTGACGACTAATTGCCGATTGCCATATACAGCCGAAATTTCAACTTTGGGACAGGGGTCCCCCCCCCCCCCCCTCCGGGCGCCAAAGAGTCCGCGCCCGCTTGCGCCCGTGCGCCCGTGCGCCCGTTTTCCGCCGTGGCCCCGCGCGGCCGTACCTACTCGCGTTTTCGGCCCACCGCCTTCGACCGAGCTTACCACCATCACGTACGCACGTTTTATCGTGTGCGCGACGCGCTCGACCACCACCGCGGTGGCGCCAAGAGCGCCTTTTCAACACGCTGCGATGGCGATGTGCAGCACCAGCCGTCCACTGCGGGAAGGGGCCACGAAAGGTGTCCAGACCCCAGTTCCGGCGGACACAGCGAGCGTCGGGACTCCGTCCCAGCAGACGAAGTCTTCCTCGTGGGCTCCACGGCCCGGATCGCGAGCTCGATCGATACCACGCGCTCGCCTGGACGTCCGCCACCTCTGCGACGTCGACGCTCTCGCAGCGCGCCGAGCGGGCAGCAATCTACTCCTCTCTGCGCGCTCGCGCCGGCCGAGAGCTCGCGTACGTCGCCGTGGCACGCCTTGCGACTCCGTGGACCCTGCTCGGCACCACCGACGCTCCGCGCCGCATCGGTTTTCCTCGGCTCCGGGCCGCTGCACTGCTCTCGCGCTCGTGAGGCTTTTGTGCAGCGCGCGGCACGACCCGAGATCCGCTTCGCCACGGCGCACGCCGCCCGCGCGACACGGACAGTGTGAGGCGGCCCCCGGCACGAGCCTTCACAGCGCCATTCTCCGCGCGCACAGGCAACGAGCGTGGACAGAGAGCCGCATGTGCGCCGCGGTGAATGGCTGCGGCCCGGACCGACCGCCCCGGCTGCCGCCTACCCAGTGCGGCGGCGGCCATCGCATCCCGTCGCACGGCCGCCGCGCGGATCGCCACTCGCGTCGCGCGCCCTCTCTCAGACACGTACTCACGCACCGCGCTGCGGCGGCAGCCTTGCGGCGGGGACAAGGCTCGCGCCGCTCCGCATCGAGTCGTGCCGCTCCGCCGCGAGCGGCTCCACGTACGTCGAGGGCGAGCCGGCGAGCGCACCGACGAGGCCAGGTCGTTTGAGTACGGGGCATGACCCTCTGCCGTGCACTGACGGTATGTTTGAGACTGCTGACTGTCATGTCGTGAATGAATTAGCGGTGCTAATACAGTAAAAAAAACGTAGACGCACCGCCGAGTACTCTCGTCACGGTCCCCAACAGTCCTCGCGCCGCTCTCGACACACAAACAAATCTCGCCCTAGGAAATCTCGTCTCGACCACCCACAAAAAGAAAAACAACGTGGGGGTGCGCCAGAGGCAAAGCGGTCGCAAGCTGTCTCGGTGGCGCGGCGAGAAGTCACACACGGCACGCAACCACAACACAGCCGCAGACACAGCCTAGCCGCCACCCCCGGGCACACAAGCGAGGCAACGGCAACGGGCAACACAAACACAAACGTACACAAACGTTAGATTTGTTTGGTATTGCTAAAAATCTCTTCTCTCTCTCTCAACGGGCTCGCACACGCTGCACTGGTGAGCGGCGAGAGCCTCGCGACACCCTCTTCCGTCGAAACGTGAAGAGCTCACCATCGCGGCGAGACGACGCACTATAGCGGTGCGGCCCAGCAGCTCCCGGGGCGACGCGTCTGCTCCCCTCTCTCCGCCGAGAGGACCGCCGGGAGCGCATCCAGACGCACAGCGACCGGGCAGCAATCGTCCGCGGCGCCGAGGGAGAAGACGGAGCAGCGGCAGCTTGCCGGTGTCGACACCTGTGCGAGCGGCGAAGGCGCACTCAATTGTCGACACCTCAGCGTCGCGCGCCGGCCTGTGGAGGGATCGAGCCGAGCGAGAACTGAGCGTTGTGGCGAGCGGAGCGGTGAGTGAGGCTGGAGAGAGGGCGCGCGTCGCGGTTTCTGGGTTTGGAGCGGTCAGGGCCAACCAGTTTCACGCACCGTTAGCTCCGAAGCGCATTCGGGTGCCGACGGCAAGGATATATGAAGCCGCCGCCGTCGGAGACGCTCTCGGCGACTCGTTGAGGCGCCGAGGGAGGCCCCGTAGGCAGTCGCGGCGGCTCGAGCGGCTGCAGAGTGCTCACCGGGAGGGGTGCGGAGGGAGCTGCGCCCGCGGCGGCGGATGGGCGGCGCACGTGTGGGCGTGCAGCACAGGAGACGCGCGGCGAGAGCGTGAGCAGCAGCGACTGCGGGCAGAGAGCTGGCAGAACACGAGCGAGACGCGGGATGTTTGGGGCTGTGTCGTGTCGAGTCGACCTACGTGCCCGCTCGGCGAGCCTCGACGCGGCGCAGGAAGCCGTGTCGGCTGGTGCTGCACATCGCCATCGCAGCGTGTTGAAAAGGCGCTCTTGGCGCCACCGCGGTGGTGGTCGAGCGCGTCGCGCACACGATAAAACGTGCGTACGTGATGGTGGTAAGCTCGGTCGAAGGCGGTGGGCCGAAAACGCGAGTAGGTACGGCCGCGCGGGGCCACGGCGGAAAACGGGCGCACGGGCGCACGGGCGCAAGCGGGCGCGGACTCTTTGGCGCCCGGAGGGGGGGGGGGGGGGGGGGGACCCCCCCCGATTTGGGTTAAACCCTTCCCCACCAGGAGTGGCCCCCCCCGGCGAAAAACCCCCCCGGGGTCCCTGGGAAAAACACCAGTTCCTTTCCCTTGGTCCCCTTTCCCCGGGGAAATTTGGCCCCCTTGCCTTTTCAGGGGTTAAATTGGGCCCCCGGAAAATTTGGCCCGGGGAAAGACCCCTCCTTCAATTTGGTGGGAAAAAAGGGGGCTTTTTTTAGTTTCCCCCCAACAAACTTTTTGCCCCCCATTTTGGGGCCCCCCCCCGGGTTGAGGGTTTTGGGCCCCATTTCCCGGGCCCCCAATAAATTTTTTTGGCAAGGGGGGGTCCAATTAGGTTCCAGGGGAGTTAGGGGGGCCCTCCCTCCCCTGGAGGGGGGGGACCTTTTTTTAGGCATGGAGGGTTTTTGGGGTCCCGGGCTTGGGGGCTTTTGACGGCCTTTTTTTTTTTTTGCCCCCCCCCCCCCCCCCCCCCCCGCGCGCGCACCGCTTGAACACAAATTCCGACTCCTCAAACCGCCCGTAGCTGAAGTCGGCGCCCGACGCGCCGCTTAAGCTGCTCGGCCCTGGGTGCTCCTGCGGCCCGGCAGGGGAGAGAGGTGTGGGAGCGAAAGCGCACTGTAGACGGTGCGGGCGGGTGGTGCATGGCTGGTGGCGGCGCGCGCCCAAAGAAATTCGACGAGCGAGAGCAATGCCTACGCCAAGCATCGAGCCGTAAGACTCGAGCCCCCACCGCCCATCTCTCTCTTCGCGGAGCCGTCGCATTCTCGCGTTGCCCCATACACCACCACCCCGACCCCGTCTACTCCCGGCCCCAAGTCCTTCAGACCTGGCTGAAGCTGGCGCCCTCGAGAGAGCTGTCGACGAAGCTGACAGTGCTGAGGGCGGCGCCGCTGAGCCGCGCGTGGTCGAATCTGCAGCGGATCGCCTCGACGTGGCCCAGCGCGGCGGTGGCTTCGCCACGGTCGATTCGCGGCGGCGTGCGAGGAAGGGAGGTCGCCTCGGTGGCGGTGAGGTCGAGGTCGAGCGGCGCGGTGTCGAAGGTTGCGCCGCGCAGGGAGGTGTCCGAGATGGAGACGCGCAGCATCCGCGCGCCTGGGGGGGGGGGGGGGGGGGCAGACCACGGACGCGGGCGTTGGCCTGGGAACGGGCCGGCTCTCTGCGTGGGACGGAGAGACGCGCGGCGGGCTGCACCGCTTAGCTCGACGCCCTCGAAGTTGCAGCTGGCCAGGCCGACGTCGGTCATCATGGTGCCGGCGAGCAGCGTCGTCGGCGAGGCGACGGCGCCAATCAGTTCCGTGTGGTCGAGTCGCGACGCGACGAGGCGCGTGCCGCGCAGCGACGGGCGCGTGAGCACGCACTTGCTCAGAAGGGCGCGGTGCAGGTTGGCAAAGTCGAGCACCACGTCCTGCGAGTCTTCGAAGCCCTCGAGGGTGGCGTCCGCGAGGCTCGCGCCAGTCAGGTTGGCGCGCGAGAGGTGGCCGATCACGGCGACCGTCGGGTTGACGCTCGCGCGCAGCTCCGCGCGGCTAAGGTCGACGAAAGTGAGGTCTGCCCGCTCAAAGGTGAAGTCCGTCGCGCGGACGCCCGCCATGTTTGCGCCGGTGAAGGAGGCTCCCTCGGCGTGCGTGTTGTGCAGCGTGGCCCCCTCAAGCTGGGCGCAATCGAGCATCGTGCCGGTGAGGTCGACGCCTGAGGTGGTGGGCGGTGGGCGGCGATGGGAGGCGGTCTGAGGCGGTGGGCGGTGGGCGGCGGTGGGAGGCGGTGGGAGGCGGCGGGTGGCGGGTGTGATCCGCCGAGAGGCTGCAGGGTGGGGGCGGGAGACGCTGAGTGCTCGGCTGGCGGCGAGTTGTGCGCGCGTGCGGCTCAACAGTGTGGCTCGAGCGCGCCGTCGAGGGTGGCGTGGCTGAGGTTGGCGCCGCGCAAATCAAGGTGCGCGAGCGAGGGACAGCCCGCAGCCAACACCTTGCTGCCCGGCCGCAGCGCCTGCATGCACGCCGCCTTGCCAATGGCGATGCCAAGCGCCTGCCGCCTCGCCGCCGCCGCGTGGATCGCGTCTGCGTCGAGCAGCCGAATGCCGGAGCAGTGATGAGTGCTCAGGCCGGAGCCGATGGACATCCCTCGCGGCTGCTCAGGAGGCGAGGGTGGCGGCGACGGCGGCGGCGGCGGCGAGGGTGGCGGCGACGGCGGCGGCGGCGGCGAGGGAGAGGGCGGCGGCGGCGGCGGCGGCGGCGGCGGCGGCGGCGGCGACGGATGCGGCGGCATCGCGGGCGGCTGCAGGGGCAGCGGCGAGGGCGGCGGCCGCTGGGGCGACGGCGAGGTCGGAGGGGGCGGAAACGGCGGTGGGGCGACCGACGGCGGCGGCTCTGGCGGCGGCAATAGCAGCCACCCCGCAGGCAGCCATGAGGTCAAAAAAGTGATAGGCGGCGGTGGCGGCGGGGGCGGCGGCGGCAGCGGCGGTGACGGCGGCGGCGGCGGCGGCGGCGGCGGCGGCGGCGGCGACGGCGGCGGCGGTGGCGGCGCTGACGGCCGCCGCCTCGTGCTGCCCTGCCTGCCAGACACCTGCTTGGTGTAGCACGATGCGTACTGCGAGCCAGGGAGCGGCACGGCGTGCTGCGCCACCGGGCCCATGTGCAGGGTGCAGCGCGTGGGTGCTGCGGATCTCGGGCCCTGATTGCGGGAGCTGTAGGCGACAAACTCGTACGCCTGCGCGACGCGGGCGGCAGTAGAGGCTGGGCGGAGCGCTGCAGTACTGCCTCTAGCGCGATCTCCGGCTCGGGGTTGGAACGCGCCTGACACGCGTCGTCGATTAGACAGAGCTGCCGGCACTGCAGCTCGTCGATCCCCCAGATCTTGTTGGCGCGGGCTCTGTTGTTGGAGCCCTTTTTGCGGACACAGCCGCCCTGCCGGCCGCCAGATAGGCTCCAGGTCAGCATAGCAAAGCGCACTAGAGCAGCTCACAGAGGCGCCGAAAGAAAAAAATTAGGCTGGTGTAGGCTTGCGCAGCGAGCGAAGTGCGCTAGGCTCAGACGGCGAGTTCGGCGCTGCGCTAGGCTCAGTACGGCGAGTTCGCGCTGTGCGGCCTGCACCGCTCTAGCAAGAGACTCTAGGCACTAAGGGCGTCTACGCCCTTATAGGCACTAGGGGCTCTCTTGCGAAGATTTTATATCTCTCGGCTGCGTTGGCTCGCCAAAGTCTTGTTGTTCTCGATGGCGCTGACTGGGAGTGTGTGTTTTCGTAGAGAAGGAAACACGCAAATCGTCCGGGTTCTGTCGAGCGTGCGGGCCGCCGGGCGGTTAGGGCGGAGGCCCCAGGCTTGCGAGAGAGCAGAGAGGGCGAGAGCTAGTGCGAGAGTTAAAGGTCCGACAGGTTCGGCACCGGGCGCCGCCTCTACAAAATGCGCCTGTGGGCGGACCCTTACATATCACAGATCACTGTACGCGTCCCCTCCACCACAGGCGAGGCTCGGGGCCTGGGAAACCTCACAATCACGGGCCAAATTCCGCGCCTCCGCTGCGCGTGGCCGTCGGCCGGACAGCGCGCGCGGCGTCCTGCGCCACTTGCGCTGCGGCGGGGGCGGCCACGGCCGCGGCGTCTTCGCCCTGCATCTCGCGCAGCAGCGCGGGCAGCACGGCTCGCAGCCCCTCCTCCAGGCGGCAGTAGGTGCCGATCAGCTCCTCGTACGCCTGCGTATAGTCGACGCGCTGGCGCGCGGCGCTCTGGTAGGCGCGCTCGCGGTAGTGGGCCGAGACGACGGTGGCGAGGTAGCCGCACAGCCGCTCGTCCACCTTCGGAGCGCCCTGCCGCGTCTGACGCCACCGCGCCTGGAAGTCGGGGTGCAGCGAGTCGACGAGGATGACGGAGCCGACCAGCCGGCTCCGCTCCGTCTCCGCCGACCGCTCGCCGGCCTCCTGCTGACCGGGCAAGCCCCGCACCAGCCGCACCGTGAACGGCTCCGACGCCTGTTTCCAGCGGAAGGTGTGTGGAATCCGGCTCCACACCGGCGCGCACACACGCCATGAAGAAAGCTGGCGCCGGCGGCGACTTCTTCTGCCGCCGCGCCCGCCGCCGCTCCTCCTCGGCCGCCGCGCTCGCCGCGCCGTCCGTCTTGATGTCGTCGATTGCGCGCGCCACCGTCTCGCCCGCGCCAGCAAGCGCCTTGCCGATCAAAGAGCCGAGGCCCGACGCAACCTGCTCCGGCAGCGGCTTCGCTTCCGCCGCAGCCTCAACTGTGGCAGCTGCGCCGCCCCGCCCCTGCTCGGACACCCTCTCCGCGGCGACCCCCTCCGCCGCCGCCCGCTGGCGCCGCTGCTCAAGCCTCTCCCGCCGGAGCCGCTCCGCCGCCTCGCGTCGCTCCGCGTCGGCCACGTCGGCGAGCACCTACCTACGCGCGTCTGCTCACAGCCGGCGGTGTGAGAGGCGTTGCGCCGTCCCGCGTCTTGCGAGCACCGCCGTGAGGGTGTCCTCGAGCTTGGAGAGAGACTTCTCCGTCGCCGCGCTGAGCGTGCTCTCGATCGCGTCCATCAGCGGCGCCTGCCCGTGTCAGCGGTCGGGCGGTGGAGGCGGCGACGGTGGCGGTGGCGGTGGCAAGGGCGGAGGCGGGCGGCGGCGGCGCCTCGCACGCCTCGACGAGCGCCTGCGAGATCGTCCGAGATTACCCGAGGTTTGCCTTTGCGGACCTGACCTCGGCTATTCTCAGCTAGTCTCTACCTACTCTCTGCAGTCTCGGCTCATCTCGCCTCGTACGCAGCCTGCCGGCCGCGCGTCTTTTTGAACTCGTCGCGCGTGATGACCTGACAGGATTGGTTCGGTCGAAGCTCAGGCAGCTCCAACCCGTCGTCCTGAGCTCGTCGCGGCGCGAGGTTACCGGCTGCAGCGGACCGGACCGATTGCCCGTGATGTCGATGTACCCTACCACCTGCACGCGAGCGTCAGTCGTGCAATCCTCCGGCTGTCTTGCCACGTGCGCGCCTGCTGGCCTCGCGGCGCGGAATGTGCTGCAGCCCCTCGCCTCAGTGTGTGCTGCGCGTGTCTTCCCCTCGCCCGACGTCTACTCCCACACCTGCGGGTGGCTCCACAACGTCCAGCGGTTGGCACTCTGCCGCGCAAACGACGGCGTCGCCCCGCAAGCGGCGATCCGGCGGCCAGACACGAAGAAGCGCGCCGGCCGCCCCTCGGCCCCGCCGACGGAAACGCAAACGTCGGCGCCGCCTTCGCTCACGGCGGGCTCGGGCCGCAGCCCCGCGGGCCGTGTCCGTGGTGCGCCGGCGGGCAGGACGCAGAGGTTGATGTGCGCGACTTGCCTGCCCCATGAAGACGGCCAGAGTCGGGTCGTGATCGAGTGCATACAAGGGCTACGAGCGGACGGCGGAAGGCAGCGGAAGGCGGCGGACGGCAACGGAAGGCAGCGGAATACACAGCTCCGCATGCTAGGGCGGCTGCCCCGCGCCGAGCGGCAGCTGCTTCTTGACGCTCGCGCCCGGGCTGAGGGAGGCGTAGTCGATCGGGCTGCAGCGCAGGCCATGCCCGGGCGCGTCCTCGTCCCACACCTGCGGGCAAGGGCTGGAGACGGTTCGGACATGGCTGCAGGCGCTCTGGCCGTCGCCCCAGGAAGGGGGGGCGAGAGCGAGAGATTGAGGGAGAGAGAGGGAGGGAGAGGGGGGGGGGGGCGGAGGGAGGGAGGGAGGGAGGGAGGGAGGGAGGGAGGGAGGGAGGGAGGGAGGGAGGGAGGGAGGGAGGGAGGGAGGGAGAGGAGGAAGGGGAGGGGGGGAGGGAGGGGCAGTCAAACGCACAGTCACGCGCAGGTTGGCGCGGTCGAGCAGCCGCTCAAAGTGCGACTCCACCTACAATCGGGCGAAGCTTGGGCTCGACGTGCGGGTGAGAGTGGCGAAAGCGAGCTGAGCGGCGACTCCGCCTAGTTCGTTCTTTGCTTCGTCTGATTGTGCACTTCGGCCGCGCCGAAACCGCTCAAAGTGGAGAGACTCCTCGCGGGCGACGGCGGCGGCGGTGAAGGACTCGTCGACCCACTGCGCGTCGAAGCCCTGCAGCAGCACCTGAGGAACTGTTCGCTCGTGTCAGGTCACTCTCCCACCAGCCGCCCGCGTGAGCCCAAAGCCCCGCAGCGAGGCCGCGAACCTCTGTCCCGCTGCCGCCGCAGAGAGCGGCCGCCTCAGGCGCGGTCGGCGCCAGAGGCTCGAGAAGGAAGCCGTCGCTCTGAGACCGCTCCACCCGGATTTGATGCGCGCGGTCGGCCGCCGCGGAGCGCACCGTGAGCGACGAGCAGGCGGCACGGAAGGACTGCATGCCAAACCCAAACTGGCCATTCACGAAGGACGCGCCACGCTTGCGGGACTCCCCAACGCGCATCACCACCCGCGCCAGCGTCTCTGGCGGCATGCCGCGGCTGTTGTCCACGATCCGCAGCCGCCGACCGCGCCGCGAAACAAAGACGTCCACTCGGACCTCCCGCCTGCGTGAGGGAGAGCCCTGTGAGGGATGAGCGAGTGGGTCCCAGTGTCTGCAGTGCCCTGCCGTCTCGCCTGTACGCGCCTTTGGCCGGCTCATACAGCGACTCTGCGTCGTCGAGCGAGTTGTCGACAAACTCCATAAGGATTCTGCTTGTCGAACCGTATCGGTCGGCCATGTGATTGAGCAGCAGTGCTGGAGAGGGCACCCGAAGGGAGAGAGACTCGGGCGGCGGGTCGTCGCCACTGGCTGTGGCGCTCGCGTACACGGGCTCCAGCCGCGTACGGACTCCAGCCGCGAGGGGGCGTGCGAATGAGCGCATTCTCGCTCCACGGAGGGCTTGCGGGAAGGTCAGGAGGAGCCACGCCGTGTGCATCTTGATGGCAAAAATCGCGCCGGATTTCGTCCAAAAAAATTGAAAAATATAAATTCGCGAGCCGAACAGAGATAGGAAGCAGACTCCCAAAGGGTGGGCGACGGCTGGCAACACACCTTCCTTCCCGTGAAATCCCAGTGATGGCGGCGGCCGTCCTCCCATCCATCCTTTTGCTTGTATGTTTGGCTTCTTTCTTTCTTTTTCCCTCCCTGGGGTTGTCTGCTTTCTCTCTTTCTTTAGATGCAGGCAAGAAAGAAAGAAAGAATGCGACAACCCCAGAAGGATCGTTTCTTTCGCCGGTTGCCCCGAAACTCGCGATGAGAGAGTACCGCGCGCGGCCCCCTTGTAACAAACACCCGCGATGGGCTGGCACAACTCCGTCCACGGCTGCGATAACTTTGCGATGCTGAAGCTGGTGTCGTACCGGGAGCAGCAACAGCGCCGCAGCCCTTCCCCGCCCTCGTTCCCCCGGCCCGTCTGCTACGTCTGCCTTCAGCCCGACGGACCCATGATTGTGAATGTGTGCGACTGCCGGTGGAGCAGGGTCCACCCCGCCTGCCTTGATCAGCTCGTCAAAAGCCAGGCGGGTAGCGATGTGTGCCGCGTGTGTAGGTCCCAGTTCGCAGTCACCATTCCGCCACCCTCACCGAAGGCAGCGGCACTCTGCCCCAGCGCGCCGCCAATCGGCTTCTTCTCGTCGTGGTGATGATCTTGGTTGCTGTGCGCCGTGTCGGATTCGACCGCTGCCTGGTGGGCTTCTGTGTGGTGACTGGTGTCAGCAGGTGTCCCGCGTGTCCGTGAGCTCTCTGTTTCTCTGGTAGGACGGGCTCTGTCTGTGAGGACTGTGTGCGGCGCCGCTCCAAAATTCTCCAGATATGCGGCGGCGGGAGGACGGCACATTTTACGGATATATTGAAAAGAATCTCAACAACACTCCCTCGGTGCCACAAACGGTCGGAGAGCAGGTGCGCGACGCCGCCAGTCGGCTCTTGTGTCGCCTCATGCGGTGCGCCCGACTCACAGCGGCTGCGTCTCGCGCCACAGCCATGCCTGCGAACGTGCGAGGTCCTCCTCCACCCCGTCCTTGCCGCCCGCGGCTGCGCGGCGCAAGAGCTCGGCGTTGACCTGTTAACAGAGCGAGATCTCTTACGTGACGTGCCGCTCTTTCACGAACGCGCAAACTGCTCGGCGGCCGCCTCGTCGCGACAGCGCACATGGAAGGCGTCGATCCACTCCCTCTGCCGCGGCTCGAGCAGCTCCACCTCGATCAGCGCGCGGCAGAAGGGCACCGGCGAGCAGTACCGGAAGCCGAGGTATGGCCGAGAGCCTACACACACACACACACAGCGGTCTACGCCCAGCGGCTCGCTACTGCAGCCTGTGTGTGTGGGGGGGGGAGGGTAGGGGGGGGGCATCGCGCGCCCCAGGCGAAGTGGGTAGGCTGCTCGACGACGATGAGGTCCGCCTAGCTCGACCCAACCAGTGCTCAAGCTCGGGCAGCCCAGCCTCGGTCCACTCCCCCGTCGGCAGCCCGCCTCGATCCGAATGCCGAACTTGCCCTCCAGGTAAAAGCCGGGCTCGTCCGAGAGGTAGTGCCCCGCCTCGATCGGGTAGAGGTACATCCGCCGCCGCGCCTCCGACACCTGCCCGATGTCCGTCGCCCCGCCGCCGATGCCCGCCGGCCCCTCGTGCACGTTCAGGTACGCGCCGATGCCGTGGCCCGTGCCGTGGAGAAAGTTCATGCCGTCGCGCCAGCCGGGGGCGCGGGCGAGGCACTCGAGCATCAGCCCGCTGGTGCCGGAGGGGAAGGTCGCGAGGGCGAGGTCGAGGTGCCCCTGGTCACGAGGGGGCGGGAGGGGCTCTCAAATCTCAGAGCCGATGGAGGTGCCGGTGCAGACGGAGCAAGGCGGCGGTGCGTGAGAAGAGACGAGAACCAGTGCGGAAGGGGCTCCCACGATGGGGATGTGTAGGTGGGATGTGTGGTGGTGTAGAGTGGGGTGCCCGGGCCTGCAGCACGCGCGTGTACGCCCGCCGCTCGTCCGCGGTCGGGGACCCGAAGTGGAGGGTCCGAGTCACATCGGTCGTCCCGTCGAGGTATTGGCCTCCAGTGTCGCAGAGGTATACGCTCTCGCGGTCAATGAGCGAGCAAGCGCCGTGCGTGGCGTGGTAGTGGATCACGGCGGCGTTCGGCCTAGATGCGGAACACGGATCCGTGTCTCCCCATATCTCCCAAGATCTCGAGATGGCGTTCGGCCCGGTCGATGAGATCGTTGGGAAGGAGTCGCCGACATCTCCCCACATCTCCCCACATCTCCCCATATCTCGCGCCCGATCGACGAGATCGTTGGGAAGGAGTCGCCCACGCAGCCCTCCATCGCCATCCTCCGCCGCCCGATCTCGTCCGCTAAGGGGGGAGGGGGGGAAGGGGGGGGGAGGGGGGGGAAGGGGGTGGAAGGGGGGGGCAGAGAGGGTGTGGGCGGGGCGGCGGGGAAACACACAGCGCTGTGGCCGAACCTGTCGGCGCACCTCGCCGCACCTCGCCGCATCTCGCCGCACCTCGCCGCACCGTCGCCTCATCTCGCCGCACCTCGCCGCACCTCGCCGCACCTCGCCGCACCTCGCCGCACCTCGCCGCATCTCGCCGCATCTCTCGGCTAGTCTCGCGCCCCCCTCCGCCTCCGTCACAGGCTCGCCGGCGACCATCTGCGCCTGCGAGGCGGCGAGGGCGGAGATGGGAGATGGGCGGGGTGGAGCGACGGAGGGGCGAGGGCGGCGGCAGCGAAGGCGACGGGCTGGGAGGCGGCGGAGGCGGCGGCCTCCAGCCAGGCGAAGTACGAGCAGAGGGCCGCTGCGTCCTTGCGGCCTGCGCTGACGAGACCCGCAACCTCGGCCTCATTCTTCCTCGCCTTGAGAGCCTCGACGGGCGAGGTGTCCACCAGCCGCCGCCGCGCGTCCGGCAGCGCCGCCGCCATCGCCATCGTGGTCGTGCCTCGCTCGAGCATCACGAGGCCGTCGGCGCCGCACCTGCGCACAGCTCTATGTTTTGACTCCTCCCCTCCCCCCTCCTCTCCCCTTTCGGCCTCGCCTCTCCACTCCCCTTCTTGCCCCTCCTCTGCTCTCCTCGCCTCTCCAGCTCGAGGTGCGGCCGCTTACGCCCACACCCTCGCCCACACCCTCGCCCACACCCTCGCCCACACCCTCGCCCACACCCTCGCCCACACCCTCGCCCACACCCTCGCCCACACCCTCGCCCACACCCTCGCCCACACCCTCGCCCACACCCTCGCCCACACCCTCGCCCACACCCTCGCCCACACCCTCGCCCACACCCTCGCCCACACCCTCGCCCACACCCTCGCCCACACCCTCGCCCACACCCTCGCCCACACCCTCGCCCACACCCTCGCCCACACCCTCGCCCACACCCTCGCCCACACCCTCGGCCTCTCGGATGTCTCTCGCCACGGGCACCGGAGCGCGGCCTCGTCCGCGCCGAAGGAGGAGTAGGCGGCGAGCTCGACAAACGCGGTGCCGCCCTCCGAGCCACAGCCCTGACGGGAGACGTGGGGAGATGTGGGCGAGATGTGGGCGAGATGTGGGCGAGATGTGCGGAGATGCGGCGAGCGGCGAGATGTGGGAAGAGGTGGGGGGGGGGGGGGGATGTGGGGAGGTGGCCAGATGGGGCGAGATGTGGGAAGATGTGGGGGGAGGTGGGGAGGTGGCGAGATGGGGCGAGATGTGGGGAGATTGCACCTCCGAGTCGAGGTGGCGGCGGACAGTCCGTACCGTTGCCGCGTTGCTCGCCTCGTCCTCCTCGTCGAGTGCGCGCAAGAACAGCCTCGCCCTCGTCACGAGCGGCGCCCCCTCCTCCTCGCCGGGCGACGCGGTGAGCACCGCGTAGCCGAGAAAGACGGGGTTGCACTCGATGTCGGAGCCGCGCAAGTTGAAGAGCCTACTCGTGACTCGCCCCTCCCCCTCCTCAAGCAGCAACGATGAGTTGGAGCCCCGCGGGCGTGTGGGGCCAGCAGAGCTGGTCGAGTGCGTTGAGGATGAGGGCGCTGCAGCCCGCCTCGCAGACCTTGGTGCCGAGATGACCCGAGATGACCCGAGATGACCCGAGATGATACCCGAGATTAGGCATCCGCCTCGCAGACCTTGGCGCCGACGCGCGCGAGCTTGTCGGCGACGCGCTCGCCCGAGAGCGCGAGCGGGTGCGGCAGCACGCCGTTGCTCGAGACGGGAGGGCGCTTCTTCCACACTGCGTCCACCAGGTTGCCCGGCACCAGCCGGAGAGGCAGGCAGCCGCTTGCCGCCCACCCGTCGGCAAAGTCGATGGAGATGAGCCTCGGGTCGGCGCCGACGGCACCCTCCGGCAAGTGCGTCCGGACCCACTCCTCGAGGGTGGGGACCCCCGGCTCATGCGAGCGCATCAGCACCCACTCTGTCCCCGAGAGCTGCTTGGCCGCCTGCACAAAGTAGCGGCCGTCTGTCCACACGAGCGCCTTGTCGGCAGTCACGAGAGCGGTTCCGGCGCTGCCGGTGAAGCCAGTCAGCCACTCGCGCCGCTTGTCCGCCTCAGAGACGTACTCGCTGCTGTGCGCGTCGCCCGAAGGCACAAGATATGCCGCGAGAGAGTGCGCCTTGAGCAAGCTGCGCATGCCGGCAACCTTGAGAGCCATGTCGAAAGGCGTAAAGTCCTCGCAGAGCGGCGCACCCGGGCGGAAGCAGCACGGGCACGATTGGTCCGACCAGCCGAGCGGCACCGCGGTTGTGGCCGTTTGCGCCATGGCGCGTTTTGCTCACCGTCCGGGCAGGTCTTCTCTCGGCCGAGCGCCGTGGCCTGGCTCGGCTCGCCGCGAACGCCGCGAATTTCAGTGCACTCACGAGACCTCGATACTAACAAAGACTACGATACTGGAGGTAGGGTCGATTCCGCATGTGGTACGGGACCCCTTGTCGTCTCGCCCTCCCTCACTGGTGTGTTCATTTGGGGGGGGTCATAACAAACACGTGCTTCCATCTTGAGAGACAGCGCGCCGCCTTGCACCTGTATCAGAGCATCGGGGGTCGTGTGGTGCTGTGTGTGCTTCCGTTGTGTGGAGGAGGAGGCAGAAAGGAAAAAAAAGGGGGGGAAAGGGGGGGGGGGTTGACGATCTGCGCTCTTGTGTGGCCTAGAAGACTCTCTATCATAGAGAGCGCAGGGAAGGAGTCCACTTCTTCACCACTAATGCGTTCGCACGTGACGGATAGGCACGTGGAAGACGCGGAAACAGAGCCGTGCACCCCTTCGCCCTCTTCATCACTGCCCCGGCGCCCACACATCAACCTTCTTGGGCAGCAGCTGGTTCGACTCGTCCTCTCCGTGGCCTAGGCAGCCGAGTTCACCCTCGCCCCACGTAAAGACGGCGCCGTCGGCGGTGAGGGCGAGGCTATGCTGCCACCCAGCCGACAAGGCGACGACGCGCTGTCCCGCCAAGGCCTCGACCTTCTTCGGCTGCCGCTGGTTCTGCAGGTCGCCGTGGCCCAGCTTGCCAGCACCTCCATCGCCCCAGCTCCAGAGGGCTCCGTCGGCGGTGAGGGCGAGGCTGTGAGCTCCAGCCGACACGGCAACGACGCGTTGGCCAGCGAAGGCCTCGACCTTCTTCGGCAGCAGCTGGCTCTGCTCGTCGCTAGTGCCCATCCGGCTCAAAAATCCATTGCCCCAGCTCCACACGGCGCCGTCGGCGGTGACGGCGAGGCTGTGGAACCATCCAGCCGCGACAGCGACGACGCGCTGGCCAGCCAGGGTGTCGATCTTCTTAGGCAGCAGCTGGTGCTGCATGTCGCCGTGGCCCAGCTGGCCAGAGCCTCCATAGCCCCAGCTCCAGACGCTGCCGTCGGCGGTGAGGGCGAGGCTGTGCCCGTTCCCAGCCAACACAGCGACGACGCGTTGGCCAGCCAACGCCTCGACCTTCTTCGGCAGCAGCTGGATCTGCTCGTCGCCGTGGCCCAACTCGCCCCCGCGGCTATGGCCCCCGAGGCTATGGCTCCCGCCCCAGCTCCAGACGGCGCCGTCGGCGGTGAGGGCGAGGCTATGGCTGTGTCCAGCCGACACCGCGACGACGCGCTGCCCAGCCAGGGCGTCAATCTTCTTCGGCAGCAGCTGGTCCTCCTCAAGGCCATGCCCCATGCCCCGCCAGCCGCAGCCCCAGGACCAAACGGCGCCAGTCGCGGTGAGAGCGAGGCTGAAGTATCGTGACGCCGCCACACCAATCGCGCGCTCGCCTCCGGGAGACGGGAGACGGGTCGGCGTCTTCAGCTGCAGCACGCCCTCGCCGTGGCCGAGAAGGCCTGGAAGTTCCTCCTCCTCGTCCTCCTCCTCCTCCCCGCGCTCCGCTGCCGTGCCGCACGACGAGAGCCGCCCCTCGCCGTCGATGAAGAGGCTGTGCCGCCTTCCTGCCGACGCCCTCGCCGGCGGGTTGGACTCGCGCAGCAGCGCCGAATAACACAGCCACCGCACGGCGCAGCTCTCGTCCTCCGGCTGCGCCGGCAGCTCGTAGCCTCGCTCTTGCGCCCACAAGAGGATGCCCTCCTTTGCGAGCGAGGCGTGAAAGAGCAGCGAGACGGCCGCGACACGAGCGATGTGTACGGGTTCGCAGCGAGAGACGACGCGCACGAGGAGCTCCGTGGGGAGGTCGAGGAGGCGGGCGGGCGGCGGCGCGTCTGGCGAGGGCGCGGCGGCGGCGGCGGAGGGTGCGAGGCACCGCGAGCGGCGGCGCGAGGCGGACATCGCGGCAGAGAATTTTTGTGTTGCTCGTTTTCTTTTTTCTGCCCACTTTCTTACCTACCTTTCTTCTCACCCATACCGCGTTGGTGTCCAGTCCGAGCCTGGCTGTTCTTCACCTTTCTACCTACCTACTCTCTTCTGTGTGAGCTCTGTGTCTTGATTTGCCAACAATATACCTAAAACCTACCTCTTCTCAACTGAAACCGAATCGAAACGGTCCCGTGCAGAGAGGCGCATCGGGCGGCACAGATTGCACAGCTGCTGACGGACCGCCAGACCGAGGCGCTCAGAAAGCTTGCCAGCGAGAATGCGTCGCTCCTTTCTCTGCTCTCCGGCCTCCCGTCACTGCGATCTGCAGTGGCCAACGGAGCTGCGCCACCCGCGAGCAGCACTTGGGGTAAGGCGCGGGGAGTGCTAGAGCTGCAGTGAGCCCTTCGCTCGTCTGACTCGCCAGCGGAGCCAGCTAGCGAGGGGCGCGGCGCGCTGGTCACCGGCGGGTCCGAGAAGGATTAGTAATTTACGGCCGATTAGGTCGTGGGGGTGACGCTGACGGGTGAGGGGTGTACTGTACTTCGTGTTACGTCACTCGTCAGACGTACTGGTACGTACGTGTAACGTGAAAACCTGCCTGTCCGTTCTCGACTGTGGTCTGCGTGACCGCGTGCGGCAGCACGTGCTCGCGCCACACGTCGGACAGCGCGCTCCAGTCCGGGCGCGCCTCGACGCCGTCGGGAGGAGAGAGCGCGATCTGGTACCCAATGCGCATGACCATCACCGCGTACTCGCGCGCCGCCGCGGGGAAGAGCGAGTGGCTTGCCGGCGACCACGGCGCCGCCGCCCGCCGGATCAGCGCCGCCGCCTCGCCCTCGCCGCCCGCGGCGCGCTGCAGCGGCGTCGGCTCGCCCTCGTGCAGGCTCGCGCCGCTGCGCAGCAGGGAGAGAGCGCGGGCGGCGGTGAGGGTCTCAAGGTGCGCGAGCGGCGTCCAGCCGCGGCTGGCGACCAGCCAGGCGGCGAGGTCGGCGTGGCCGCGGCGGTTCGCGGCCTCCTCGGGCGTGCCGAAGGGCGTAGCGGCGCGGGAGGCGCCGTAGGAGGAGAGGAGCTTGGCGACCTCGAGGTGGCCCTGGTAGCACGCCATGAGCAGCGGCGTGGCGCCTTGGGTCTGGGCTTGGTCCTTCGCCGCGCCCGACTCGAGAAGCAGCCGCGCGCACTCGACGTGGCCGTTCTGGCACGCGATGAAGAGCGGCGTGTAGCCGTTGTTGCGGGCTTGGCCGACCGCCGCGCTGGCCTCGAGGAGCAGCCGGGCGCACTCGACGTGGCCCTCTTGGCACGCCATGAACAGCGGCGTGGAGCCGTTCTCTGCGGCCTGATTGACCGAAGCGCCGGCATCGCGCAGCAGCCGGGCGATCTCGAGGTGGCCAAAGCGGCACGCGATGTAGAGCGGCGTGGCGCCATTCTCCTCGGCTTGGTTCACCGCCGCGCTGGCCTCGAGAAGCAGCTGGGCGATCTCAAGGTGGCCCTCCTGGCACGCGATGTACAGCGGCGTGACGCCATTCTCCTCGGCTTGGTTGATCGCCGCGCCAGCCTCGAGAAGCAGCGCGGCGACCTCGAGGTGGCCTTTCTCGCACGCGATGAACAGCGGCGTGGCGCCATTCTGCTTGGCTTGGTTGACCGTCGCGCCCGCCTCGAGGAGCAGCCGGGCGATCTCGAGGTGGCTGTTCTGGCACGCAACGTACAGCGGCGTCAAACCGCTAGAATCTGCTTGGTTCACCGCGGCGCCGGCAGCGATCATCAGCCGAACGCAGTCGATCTCGCCAGCCAGGCTCGCAGCGCTCAGCGGCGTGGTGCCGTCCTCATCAGCTTGGTCGACCGCCGCGCCAGCCTCGAGGAGCAGCCGGGCGATCTCGGTATGGCCCTTATCGCACGCAACGTAGAGTGGTGTGGCGCCGTCATCCATGGCCTGGTCGACCGAAGCGCCGGCATCGCGCAGCAGCCGGGCGATATCGAGGTGGCCCATCTGGCACGCGGCGATCAGCGGCGTGAAGCCGCCGTTCATCGCTTGGTTGATCGCCGCGCCGGTCTCGAGGAGCAGCGCGGCGACCTCGAGGTGGCCTTGGTGGCACGCGATGTACAGCGGCGTGGCGCCTTGGGCCTGGGCTTTGTTGACCGCCGCGCTGGCCTCGAGAAGCAGCCGGACGCACTCGAGGCGGCCCTGATAGCACGCGGCGAGCAGCGGCGTAAGGCCGCCAGCCGCGGCTTGGTTGACCGCCGCGTCAGCCTCGAGAAGCAGCCGGGCGATCTCGGGGAAGTCCTCCTGGCACGCGATGAACAGCGGCGTGACGCCTTTCTCATTGGCTTGGTCGACCGCCGCGTTGGCCTTGAGGAGCAGCCGGACGCACTCGAGGTGGCCCTGAGAGCACGCGGCGAGCAGTGGCGTGGCGCCGTTGTTGCGGGCTTGGCTGACCGCCGCGCTGGCCTCGAGAAGCAGCCGGGCGATCTCGGGGGAGCCCTTCTCGCACGCGATGTACAGCGCAGAGCGGCCGCCGCCGTCAGTCGCCCCGACGCTTGCGCCAGCCTCGAGCAGCAGCCGCACCGCCTCGGCCTGCCCGTGGCGCGCGACCCAGGTCAGCAGCGTGTCCTGCCTGTCGGTGTCGTGCCGCGCGTCGAGCGTGCCGCGCGTCCGCTGCCCGGAGAGGAAGGCGCGCAGCGCGGCCAGGTCGCCCACCGCCAGGTCGGGCAGCAGAGTTGGGCTCGCGGCGCCGCTCATGCGCCGGCGAGATTTTTTCTGGTTTGGGTAACAAGAAAACTCAGTGTTGTCCTCCCAACCCTCCCTTGGGTTTTAGGTATATTGTTGGCAAATCAAGACACAGAGCTCACACAGAATCACCTTGGTTTCTCTGTTTTCTTTCTTTCTTTCTTTGGGCACCCTGCCCACAAGGGCGACGGCTAGCGAGCGCCTCTCTCTCCTCTCCTTAAAATCCCTGTGTGGTGGCGGCGTGCCGTGCTCCCATCCCTCCCTGGGCTTGTTTTCTTTCTTTCTTTTCTTTGGGCACCCTCTCGTGTGTGGGGGGGGGGGTGGGGTCTCTCTCGCCGCCTTCCGGCGGCGGTGGTGAGTACACCACTCCAACAGACCCGTACGACGCGCAGGACCTTTGACCGTGCTTGCTTGCCGTCCGCGCGGTCAAGAGTCGCGCGCGCGTGTGCTAGAGCAAATGCCCATCCGCTCTTAGCTCTAGGCGGCCGTGCTGATTCCCGTCCCTCTCGGGTCTGGCACAATGTCTACCGTGCCGGTAGCATGGGGCAGTGACCAGTGTGGGGTGGGGTGCGGTGTGGGGGGGAGGCGTTCTTGACGCGCTCGACTCTCAACTCCGCCTCGCGTGCAAGCATCTGCGCATTGATGCGCTCCATCTGCAAAGCCTGCAGCGCGATGCGCTCCTCCAAGACATTCTTGGTCCCATCATCCGCGAAGGTAGGAACGACGCCGAGAAGTAGCATATGTGCCTCGCAGCGCCGATCGGCAGACGCAGCGCGCCGATCGATCTCGGCAGAACGTCCGCCGCAAAGTATTCTCCGGCAGCTGACCCGCACCTCTCGGTCTCGCGGCGGCCGCTCTCAGACCCTACTTTGGATCGCTCCTCATCGCAAACAAGAAGAGTCGTGATTTCTTGTTGGTGAATAAAAATCTCTCTCGCAAACCCTGTCAGCAGTTCACCCTCGGGTATGTTCGTAAGAGCTACATGCTGGAAATGATGGATGCGGTTGGCGACAAAGCAAAACCGCATGTTCCGGTGACTTTCGTTCCGCCGGTCCCGAATCGCGTCGACTCGTACACACACAATGAGAGGATGGGACGGTGGCGGAACCTAAAGGTAGCCAGGTCCCGATTCCGACCAGGCCATTCGACCAGGTCGAACGAGACGATGAGGATTGGCCAGCCGTGTTGATAGTTAGTTAGGGGTCCCGTACCATGCGGTATGCGGACGGAATCGATCGACCCTATCCAGTGCTCAAGTGCTCAAGTTAGTGGTTCCCCAAGGAACCTTCGCTGTCGCTCCTCATCCAGTCGACGACGTCTTTGTCTTTAAACAAATATTAAAACTAATAATAAAACATACAACAGAATAATAAAACAATCAGGATCGGAATTCGATTTCACGGTGATTTCGTGAGGACCGATTTCGGGGCCGAAGGGGGAAGAAGCTTGCTCCGATGCCTCGCACCACGCGAGCGTCCAGGACGTGGTTCATCAGTGGCTGGCCGGTGACCGTCTCTGCTGGACACGCAGTGCTCCCAGAGGGCATTACCCACCTCCCGGACGGCGCGTTCAAGAGTCGCACCCTTGGGTTGGTTGCCGTCAGCTGCCCGAGCAGCCTAATATCTATCGGAGCCCGCAGCTTTCACGGATGCACCGCGCTCACCTCGATCTCCCTCCCGGCCGGTCTCCAATCGATTGGGTACCGCGCATTTGATGGTTGCTCCTCGCTAACGAACCTCTCCCTGCCCGACGGCCTGACCGCCATTGGTGGCCAGGCATTTCACCGCTGCTCCTCGCTCACCGTCATCAGCCTCCCGCAAAGCCTCGCCTCCGTCGGCGACTGGGCCTTCGAGGATTGCGTCTCACTGGCCTCGGTGACGTTCCCAAGTGGCCTCGCGTGCCTCGGCAACGGGGCCTTCCATAGATGCAGTGGCCTCACTGCCATCGACCTGCCCGCGGGCTTGACCTATCTCGGGCACGATGCATTCCACGGCGCCTCCTCCCTGAGCAGAAAGTCGAACGATTTGCAAACTGAAACGATCATCGCCTGCGCCATCACATCCATGCCGAGTGCCTATGAGGTGGGTGAGGTCAGTTAGTTCAGCAGTGTATCACGTGCAGTCAGCAATGTATCATGTGCCTGGGTGTAGACAGACGTCCGGGCCGGACGGACAGTCAGGTCAAAGCCGGATACGGCCGTGCGGAGGAATGAATAAGCAAATGCTGTGCCCTTTGAGAGCTTCTCGTTGTAGCGCACCGCCGGTGCCATCAAAATTTGGAACAGGACGTTTGGAACACTTGGTCGTTGGTGTGTGTGCGGCCCAAGCAGAGTGCGAGGCGAAAACCGCGGCTGTCCGCGACGCAAAGTAAATTCGCCCACTGAAAAATATATTTTTTCCGTGCAACAAAGAAATACCCGTGTAATCACGCTCATGTACCCCCGAGCTCAAGTTTTGGTGGTCCGATCCGTTGCGTGCCGCCGGCGAGACTCCACGCAGCGAGCAGGCAGCGCCCCACTGGATGATCTCTGCCCTTCAGCGAGTGAGGTGCCTGTTCGCACGACGAGAAGTTGGCAGCGGAGACACATGCACCGCTGAGGCAGCCCAGACAGTGTCAGTGCCTGACGAGTATGAGGCTGGCATAGTGCCTGTCGCAAGCGCTACACTTGAGACCGAGATGGTGGCGCTCCTGGAGGCAAAGGAGGAGTTCCCGACGCCGGCGATCACTGCTGCTATTGACGAGGTGGCAGGCAGTGTTTGGGTCCTCTCACGCCCACCCGAGAATGCCGACGACGCCAGGAAGATGATTGGAGTCAGCCGTATCCATCGCGCTATGCTACGGCACTTGAAGATATCGCCATCCCTTGAGGTTGTTCGTGACGGCATGGAGGTGACATACAAGTGGTCGGTCGGAGAAAAGGTGGTGTTTGAGCAACGCCTCGAAGTTGGCAAGCAGCTTCCATTCACTACATCTCACAAAGATAGCACCATCGAAGCGCGGCTGGTCGCAAAGCAGGGTCGGGTCTTCATCCATACAGACCACTTTCCAAGTCGCAGCGATCTTGCGGCTAGGAAGGTCGCCTACGTCACATTAAACTGGTTCCACGTGAGTGAGGACGGCAGCGAGCTCCTTGTCGACGAACTCACGCACTTAGAGTCTCTCGCGAAACGCAGAGACCCTGGGGCGGCGACGGCGATAGTCACTCGCAGCGTCTTCCGCCGCAAGGAGCTTTCGGACAAGTAGAAGGTGCCGAGCGGGACAACGCTGCTACGGGCGAATCGGGAGCCCAGCACACAGCAGAGAGAGGCCAGAGTGCAGAGTCCAGACACCAGAGAGACGTCCATGCGGCCAGCAGTGAGCAGATAGGAGATAGGAGGCGCAGCGCAGATAGTCGTGCACTGTGCACTGTGCCGATAATTCGCCACACCGGCAAGTCCACACGCACACGTGTGTCGTCGTGTCGTGTGCGGGCATGTGCTTTGTCTTTGGTGACACACGTGCACAGTGTCATTCACATATGAGTTCCTCGTCTTTTGGGGACTTTTCGCTCTCATCACTCACGAACTGTGATCTTCTGGAGACCGGCGCGGGATCAAATCACAAACGAGACGTCAAGCGGGCCGGGAGTCGGGAGACTGTTCGAGAGAGAGACCCGCACGCGCCCCGCGAGACCCCCCCTCCCCCCCGGCTCAGGCGCCTTCCCGGCCGCCGCCGATGCCGAACCTCTGGCAGACGTTCTCCTCCACCCAAGGCGCGAGCGCAAACGCCGCACCGAACCGGAGCGGCACCACCAGCCGCGCCACATTGGCGCCCGCGAAGATGAACGCCAGCACTGCGGCGCGGTCGGCGCCATCGCCAAAGTCGGGCCAGTGACCTGCGGATGGTGACGAGGTCGGCGATACTTGGCCAATCTCGGCCAATCCCTCTCCCCCCCCCCCCCCCCCCCTCTCTCTCTCTCTCTCTCTCTCTCTCTCTCTTCTCTCTTCTCTCTTCTCTCTCTCTCTTCTCTCTCTCTCTCTCTCTCTCTCTCTCTCTCTCTCTCTCTCTCTCTCTCTCTCTCTCTCTCTCTCTCTCTCTCTCTCTCTCTCTCTCTCTCTCTCTCTCTCTCTCTCTCTCTCTCTCTCTCTCTCTCTCTCTCTCTCTCGCTCACTCGCTCACTCGCTCACTCGCTTGGTCGCACCGTTCAGGTTGTAGAAGGAGGTCGAGGCGACCGGGAAGGCGACTGCCCAGAACGCCAACTCGGTGAGGATGTACGCAATGGTGCCCGCGACGCCGTACTTTTTCACGTCGGCGTACGATACCGACGGAAGCTTGTCCAGCGGCAGCGCGTCGACCACCCAGCCGCCGACGCTGCGCAGCGCTGCACCCACCGCGCCGTCCCCAAAGCCAGCGGCGACGCCGAGGAGACCGCCAACGAGTGACGACGCGAGCAGGTCCAGCGCCAAATTGTCTATCGGCAGAAGCAGCACGCCTGGCACAAAGAGGCAACCGGCGGTGCCGGTCAGCATGACTGCGGCGACGGCATCCTGCTCCGCCTTGACAGTCGCCGCTCGGTCCTGTGCGCTGGACACAGCATCCTGCCACGTGCGCATGAGTGGAGCGTCGCGGATGCGGAGCGGCGGAGAGCTCAGCGAGAGGCGAGGCGCCAGCGAGTGCTGCAGGAGCGCGGGCGGCGCGGCTAGCAACATTAGGAAAAGCATCTCCCGTGCTCAAGTATTTTTTTGGAGAATCGATCGTAGCCCCTACCCCCCATACCCCCATTTGGGCGTGTAACGGACGTCTCTAGTTGGCAGCCACCCCCCAACCCCTACCCCCTACCCCAACCCTACCCCCTAAAAAGTACCCCGGCGGCAGGAGGCTGAAATAAAAAAGTAGTCCGGAAAATCAAGGGTTAGGCGCGCAAGGGCGAACGACCGAACCGATGCAGCGAACCAAGCGAACGCCGTCCGATGTCTGACACCGAACGAACGAACCGCGAGTTCACCGAACCAATTATACCAACCAACCAGTTCACGAACGCCGCCGTCAAGGGCTGCCGGCTGGAGCTACAGTAAGAAAGCACGGCGTGGGGTGGGTGAGGGTGTGGAAAGGGCGGCGTGTGCCCGGTTAGCTCCCCGGCCCTGGATGTGAGGTTGATGACTGCACTCCAAGTGCTCCAAGTGATCCCGTGTTTCTTCACTAACCGATTGGTTTTTCTACCTCTTTCGGCTGAATTGGTCCCAAATGACTTGCTCATGGACCGGACATTTCATTCCCGGTCTAGCCAGAAACTTAACTTCCAGGGAA